TTAATTTTTAATTCCAAAATAAAATCACTTTCCTTTTTATAAATCAACAATATCTTTGGATATCTAAAAGTTTTCCAGATCAAAAAAGCAAGGATTTTACAATGTACATGTATCTTTAAACTTTGACATTTACAACTGAAGTTAGCAAAATCGTTAACTCCCTTAGAACACAATTATACCACAATACCAAACCGAATTCATTCTTTTTGCGAAGGTAACACTACCAAGTAGTTAAAAAATAAAATATTGACTAATTGCAAATGTTCTATTTTTTTCTGAGACAACTTACTACCAAGTACAATGTAGTTCAATATCATATACTGACGTAGTATAAAAGCGATCTCTTTTCAAGGACTACCTATACCACTAGGTAGTTTTTTTCTAAATATTGATCAGGTATGAAATCATGTTTACATATCGAACATTTAAATTCATGGTGCATTCTCTGAGTATTCCACCTGGTATTTAACCGCGTCCTTGTTGTCAAGAATAACTTATAAAGGCGGCCATTTATACAATTACCACGGTAAGATTCAATTTAACACCGTTACTTAAAGATATGGATAGTCTTCGATTAATGTTATATTATCTCCTTGCAAAAACTAGCATGTGATTACTAACACTGTATGGCACTAGATTTTGTCAATTTATTACAAAAGGATAATCAGATCAGAGTGTAACAAGACACTGTAATAAGAGAATAATTTTAAATTTTCTATTGCAACTTAGGGACAGTTCAAAGCTTAGTCATACCGTATACTATATGTAGTATGTGGCACTGAGATTTTATAATTTATCGTATCAGTGATGTGATTGAATGTGTGTTAAACTGTATTATATACAATGTAGATACATATATATAATGCGTATATTAGAGAGAGGTAAACAAAAGATGATTTCCGTATTGATTTTCTTGTCGATGAAACACAAATAAATGTGAGGTTTTTACCCCTTCCTAGCAACATCAATACACTTTACAAACGCAAATAGAAATTCATTCAAGATCTTTTTAAAAAGACATATACCAGTTCCTCAAAGTCAAAGAAGTCACTACTGTATATGAAATACAGTCATTCGTCGGGCTTACAAAGCTTCATATCTATGACTTCTCATTCCAACTGATCAAAGTTTTCTTAGGAGGAAGGGGGAGGGGGGGGGGTCCAATGTCACTTTTCCTTGGTATATATACATTTATAAATCTGCAAATTCTAGGGAGGGACGGGGAGCTAACCCACCCTATCCCACTCCCAGTACATCCGCGTATGAAGATAAACGGCAATAAAGCTAAAAAGACATCTGGAATGATATAAATTTAGAGTTTTATAATTTGCAGCTAGAAAGCCGTCTTCGTAGTCTTGCACTGCCTTTATTGCAACCAGCTTTAAATTATCAAACAATTCAAAATGGTTTCTCTCTTTTTCCAGCATAAGTACCCATCAGTATAATGGCCGAGTGCAATAACGATCAAGAAGACATGCGATGTGATGCATGTACAACTGCAGGAGTACAAGTACACTGTGAGGTCTGTTTGATTAATCTATGCGGAGCATGTGTCCCCAAACACATTAGTGGTATAAGGAGGACCCATGATTTTGTCAAATTCAGTAAATCCATTCCACACTATCCAGCTTGCTCATCACATGAGCCCAAGAGATGCGAGTTGTACTGTAAAGAGTGTGACAATCCAGTGTGTGTATTTTGTGTGGCATCCGAGGATCACAAAGGACATAGGTTCGAGGACATCTTAAAAACCTTTGAGAGAAAAGAAAGAACAATTTAAGAACTAATCTGGCTGAAAATGTAGTAAACAGAAGGTGGTGTGTTTTACTGAATAATGATCTTTCTTCAGAAAATGTCATTGCCTGTGGCAGTTCTTGGGTAGAAGAAACCAAAATTTTTATTATCAAGGGGAAATGGTCGTGAGAGAAACATAGACATACGAGGGGTGTTAGAAAAGTTCGCGGACAAGTTCTATTGTGAGCGCGCTATTTCAACGAAACCGGTCAAACTTTCCAAATAAAATCTTTACCTTTTTTCAAATAAATATACAAGAATTTGGTGCTCTCCGGTGATCATTGAAAAATATACAGCTTTTTTATTCTGATAAAACTTGCTTCACGGAGCATGCTACATTTTACATCACAAAGACTCTTTATTAAAATTAAAAGTTGCACAATTGTAGCGCAAAGAGATTTATGATATATTACTTGTCGCTAAAGTATTTATGAAAGGTTACTGGGAGAAATTTTGAATTAAATTGGAGTGTATATGACTGTTTTATAGCCGTTTATAAATGATCAACGCTTAAAAAGACAGCCAAAAATCGGAACGTCATTGAGCGTCATGGAGCACTGCACTACGTAGAAATTGTGTATGCAGACTGGAAAATGTGTAAAAAGAGATTAAAATGTTCAAGATGCTGCCGGAAATTTCCTACACCTACAATGGACAAATTTTCAAATGGTTGTAGCTTCAAAAGAATGGAAGGATTAACATTTTGAATGATTAATTCCACCGATACTTCAATACCTCCGTATCGCATGGACGTTGTGTTGCGCCTATATGGTTTTGCATAGTTTCCATACCTGATCGATTAACTGCATAGACTTTTTTTAAGATCTCAATAATATCCGAATCAGTACAAAAGACATTATAGAAGAAAAGTAACATGTCTTGATATAGATATTTAATTTTAAAGTTAAAAAAATATAAGAAAAAATCTGAAGAAATGAAAGATTTATAGAACTGCGACAAAGCTTAACGGGTTGAAATCTGGTTGTCACGTCGCATTACGTCAAGTGATTGCTCCGTGAATCCTATGACCTCATAGTAAAAATCGTTGTAAATTTTCAAGATTTTATAATATGGACATGATTTTTTACATACCAATAAACAAAATGTAGGAATTTATTCAGACAGAAGTCATACTTCACAGTACACAACAGATTTTCCGTAATTCAATGTGTCCGCGAACTTTTCTAACGACCCTCGTATACTTGTGACTAGTGTTCCAACCAATTCATGCATTTTCTACTTTCTAGTCTCCATATGAGAAAAGAAAATACCCAATGAAATACCACAACTTAGTGTTTAGAAGTCTTAAAATATATGAAATCCAAAGCACAGTATATTAGCAAAATATAGCTATATATTCTAGTTTTTAACACCCGAAACACCTTGTCATCTGCTACAATCAACATCTTATTAACAAGAAAAAATAATATTAGAAAATGTTTTTCTAGACACATTAAGTTTTATGACAAATTATGACATTGTCATATTGTAAACTGTTGTGAGGAGAGAGAGAGACAGAGTGTGTGTTTGTGTGAAATATTCCTGGTAACCCACTTTGGAACCTTTTATTTCCAGGAGGATTGGGGACTGATGAATTGTTACCATACTAGGACATTCATATTCACTCTAGATAGACCCCATTATATCTCAAACTAGTTAGTTTGAACACTATTATATGCATAATACATGAAATGTCATTATTATTTTCATTTGACAATATACATGTAATCATGTTGTTCTAAGTAAAAAAATTAGCAAATGAATATTTGTTTTATCATATACTTTTCAAAAATCAAGTAACCACTGTGGACAAAAACTACCTCTGGCACCAATAAATGGTTTATAATGAATCAAACTAATGTGTGCCAACACAATTTAGCATTTAATAATTTGACAATTTTATTACAAGCAATAAATGTCAAATTTATAAGTGCTGATGGTCATCAAAATATCATTAAAACTTGAAACAAAAACTTAACATCAAAAAAAAGATTCTATGCCATAATAGAAAGATGTTTAACTCTGCATTGTTAAAGCACATTTCCTGACTTATCTCCCTTAACAAATCATTGTTCCCACTTCTATTCATAATAAAATTTTCTTACTAGCTTAAAACCACATCAAAGATAATAAAATATTTTTACATAAAAACTTAAATGTAAATGATTAGTCTTGTACACCCATGTTCTTTACTGCCTAGGTTATAATACCTTAATTCAAATAAACAAGAACTAAAAAAAACTTTGATAAAACCAACGACAATACAAATGGGAACTTTCAGTCTTTCGTTAGCCTCCTTGCTGTTCAATTATATACAGTAAAACACGATTATATCCAATACACCTAAAATAAATTGATGTTTACAGTGAAGTGATTTAACGGATATAAGGAATTAAGCTTACAACAAAGCAACATTGTTCAATCCATGGTAATTGGTTATAAGTGCGTTTTACTGTACAAAGGGCTTGAATAGGTTCATGGCTTGTTCAAGTATACGATGAAAAGTTTCAAAACACTATGTACAAAAGAGATACACAAACTATATTCCTAATTTTTCTGGACCTATATGTACATGACACATTCATGACTTACAGTTACCGTATATACTCGCCTATAAGTCGGTCCGCCTATAAGTCGGTTGTATTTTTTGACGTTATTTTGTTAAGATTTGGCATTGACCCGCTTATAAGTCGGATCAATTTTTCGTCACAATTGGGTGACAATTTCAAGTAAATCCATTGATATTTTAACTGGTTTGAATTAATATGTTTTTAAATGACATCAATACTTGATCTTAAACCATTAAACAAAAGGGTAATGCTCACCTAAGATACAAATAAAATTATCAAAATATTTAAATAATTGTTTTTATGTAAAATCCAAGAATACATAAATTATCATGTACCGGTATATCCAGACATTTACTTCGATAATAGTCGGAAATGCATATACAGTACTACATTTCAGCGTCCAGAAAAATACCAATCTCTTTATAACTCGCCTATAAGTCAAACATAGAGTTTAAGACCAAAATTTAACTCCCAAAAAACCGACTTATAGGCGAGTATATACGGTACATCTAAACATGCAACAAGAATTAACCAATCTAAATACATGTACAAACTTAAATGCATTTACATTCATAAAAAAAAGATTTTTTATGCTATAATTCATTTCCACTAATAATCAATAGAGATCTTTTCTCAAACCAAAACCTGACCCAAGGGCCATGCATTTTACAAATTTGGCAGAGGATTCATAGCTTATCAGGATCATGCCGACAATTTGACTACTGGGTAATTGATAGCCAGGAGAAGACAATATTGAGATTTGCAGGAATTTGTATGGTTTGGCCTAATCCTGAGGCCCAAGAAGGGCAGAGATAGGAAAGTTCACTATTTTCATTTCCCTTCAGCTACTGATGTTTTGTAACAAAATTTATGGAAATTGGTTCTGTGGTTCTAAAAATGAGTTGATAGAAATGTTTAAAAGAATAAAACTAACTGATAACAAAAGTATAACAACAAACTTCACATGAAGACTGATGAAAAAACATAACAATATGTCAAGTTAGCAACTTGTTTAACCTATTAAAATCTCAAAATAACCAAGGGAGCTCAATCAGATGTAAGGTGGGACACTCTATTACAGTGTACAAGTTTTAACATCCAAGATAAAACAAAATCAGTAGAACACTATAAATACTGAGACATCAAATGAATGAAGAAAATAACTAGCCGATCTCTTGTGTTTGTAGAAGTTCTTCTACACAGCTTGTTACATCACCAGAATGTCTAGACATGACATCATATACTGCCTCTCTAGAGAGTGAGGGGAACATGTCCTGTATTTGGGTCACTTTCTCATCACCATAGTCCATCATCTTTGACTGTGATGGGAACACATCCTGTATCTGGGTCACTCTGTCTATATCAGAATCTGAGATCTTATAGTGTCCCATGATTCCCCTATCATTCCCTGTAACACATTGTTTGTCTATGTCCATTTTTGGAATAGATCTTCTTTCATAACCCATTTCTCTATCAGTTTCCAATTGTCTGTCTATCTTATTGATACACATAGGTTTTTCATTGTCTTTAGATGGAGTACGAGGTTGGAAGCCATAAGAATTATGGTACATAACCAGAGGTTCCTTTTCACTGTCTTCCCACCAGTCACCTCTTGTCTCTACACTTTCTGAATTGTCACTTGCTACAACCTGTGTGGTCTTCTGGCTAGCTGATCTTACAGAATGATTTCTGAGTGGAACTATTTTAGATGGTGTCCAATCCTCATCAGGATCAATTTCAACATAGTCATAAGACTTGTCCCTTCCATTATATAGGCCATCCTTCACTCCCAGCTCTGTAGTTCTTTCCTTCTTGGTTATCAGTATCTTTTTACCAAACATTCCCTCATCCTGATCACTCTTAATGTTTCTTTTTAGATTAATGTGTTTGGTTTGAGTTACATTACTTTCCCTCCGTTCTTCATCAGAACATCTTGTTGTCTTCATGTTTCTCTGTCTTGTCTGCGTACTACAGGGAATGTCTGGGAGCCAATCCGGGTCTTCCATATCGCCATCATTGTCAGTAACACAAATCTTGCTATCTAAATCATCATGTTCATCATTTTCTGACAAAGTCCATGAAGTTTTATCAATTTTACAATGAGGCATACAAATTATGCTGTCATTTGAATCTTCACTATTTTTGTTTTTTACATGATTTTCATAGACCCTGGATTCTTTCCCGTCTGTGGAAGGCTTGTCTTTAGAGGTTGACGGGTGAACTTCTTCATCACTGTCATCAATATTTATAACACTCGAGTCCTGCTTACACTTCTCCCATTCCAACTCAAACATCACATCAAATTTTCCCTTCTTCACTCTGATAAAAAGAGAGACAATTCCTATAAAATCTGGTAAATCATTCTTTATCAAAAGCTTTTCAAACTAACAATATAATAGAAAATATTCAGGAATTTTTTTTTTCATATTTTGATCATAAACCTTAAAGATACTTGGACACAGATTTGAAGTTAATATTTTCTCATTTTTTCTGTATAATATCACGAATTATATATTTCAATAGCATTTCACACAAAAATTAATTAAAAATCTTATTTCGTTTAAAAGTTATAAAAACTTTAAATTTTTTGGCGGGTTTGATTGACACATCCTTGCACTTTCACAAATTTTAACTTTATTCTTAATCCTTAGGAAAAATGGCAATTTTGATGTGTTTTAATGAGAAATATTAAAACTTTTATCAAGAAAAACTAGAACTGTCCAATAGGGACGAATACCCCCCGCTGGGTTTTTCAGAGAATGTGCCAATTCAAAAATACTTTATGGATCTAGAGGTGTTCACAATTTACTTACAAAAATTTGCAGTGAAATATAATTGCTCATCATGTTTCTTAATGAATGAAACAAAGGTGCAACCAAATGAAACATCAATACTAATACATTGTAATTCCATTGTAACATTATTTTTTTTTATTTAATTTTTTTATTTCTGCATTAAAAAAATATATCGCAATTTATATGTGTTATGTCACTCTGCAAACTGATTGTTGAAAAAAAATCATATTATACAAAATCAAATTAATCTTGATAACTTTATATCAAATTCATTTGAAAATAAAGAGCAGGTCATCCAGTAATGAAGTGCTTTGACAGACAATAAATTACAATTAAGAGAATAAGAGAAGAGAGATCTTTAATTCTTGTGCCTGATTCCCAGAAGATTACACATGGTTGATAATGAGATGCCTTAATGTTCAACTTCCCACACCAAACTCATTAATTTATCTTTAACTGGATGCATGTCCAGTCATTATTCCCAACAGACAAATGAAATTACATTATCTTCTGTGCAATGTAAAAACTGTTTTTAACACTTGATGATTTTTTTTTTCTAAGTTTGTATGAGTAGTTTTAAGCTGTAGTATTTTTGTACAGATATTCTAGATTCTATGTCTCAAACCTTATGAGCCCAAAATGAACAAGTCAATTAAAATAAAAAATAAAACCTGTAAAATGCAAAAAAATGATTAAAAAGAGTTGAAAATTCCAATTGCACACCTTCATATGGTGAATAATAAGTGTACAAATTTTCAGATTAATCCTTGCAATAGTTCCTGAGAAACGGTCCGGACAAAATCACAAAATAAAAATGAAAAAACACCTGTAAAATTCAAAATAATAATCGAATCAAGATGAAAATATCAGGTGCACAACCTCATATGGTGAATTATATTTGTACAAATTTTCAGACAAATCCTTCCAATAGTTTCTGAGTAATGGTCCGGACAAAATCTCGTCTACAGACGGACAGACGGACATGGTGATTCCAATATACCCCCCCCCTAAACTTCGTTTGCGGGGGGTATAAATAATTTTATTCAGAGTAGAAATGTTAGAAAGCAAAACACCTTCACAAGTATCGTCATTCCGAACTAAGAGATGCGTACAGAGTTTAGCAAATCGAGCACACTCGTGTTATGTACACAGTTTTTGTAAACAGGGCTCGAGTTCTGTTACTGTTTATATTTAGAATTCACCGGGTGCGTTCAGTCGTCACAGTCTGCTTACCACAACTGCACGGACTGACAATATATTGTGTGTCTGTTTTGCTTTCGAACGTGTCTACTCTGAATTTTCTGGATTATAGTATTAAAATTTTTCATTTATACAAAACGAGATTGCCACTTTTCCTAAGGATTAAGAATAAAACTAAATTTGTGAGACTGCAAGGATATGTCAATCAAACCCGCCGACAAATTTGAAATTTCAATATCTTTTAAACGAAATAAGATTTTTAATTAATTTTTGTGTGAAATGCTATTACAATATATAAGTCGTAATATTATAGAGAAAATAATAACTTCAAATCTGTGTCCAAGTACCTTTAAATATTTTCTGAAAGACTAAAACATTTGTCCTGATCATGACTCTCTTTTTACTTACTTTTGATCTAAATCTACGGTAATTGATTCTAAAATGGCTACGGTTTCCAGTATACTGTCTGTGTGCAGAACTTGAAGGTCTGGATGACTTTTCAGGTCAACAATGGCATTCTGCAGGTATAAACATTGATTGAAATAAAAGAATTCAGAGGAAAAAACAAACACAAGGTAAAGTATGATTATATCAAGAAAAAGATGGAAGAATTAAGAAATAGTGAAATGTTAAGACTATATTTAAGCAATTGAATGTGACCAAAGAATTAACTTCAATGCTTATGTGATTGTTTGTCATGCAATTATAGGATTAAAATAATGAAATTGAGTTTGTCATAGTTTGACCTGAATTGACCTTTAAAACTACAGAGTGTAGTTTGTCTTACCTTGATCTCGGTCACGCTAGTACTTTTCTTACCTGGACCAGCATAAAACCCCAGGTAAAAAGATAATAGTGTCATGACCTGGGTAAATTTTCATTCTTACCTTCACCTTGATCATGTTAGTCTTACTATATTAATTTTAGTCTTGCTAGTATGCTTTTCTCTGGCCTAGGTCAGACAGGCCAGTTGTTCTTACCTGAACCTGTATAGAACCTCTATATTTATTATGAATGACTTGAGTTAGGTTAGAACTCTTGTTTCAGTTGTTTGTCTTACCTTGACCTGGGTCAGGCTTGGGTTCTTGCACATGCCCACACCATTACATCTGTCCTTACACTTCATAACATACTGTTCTGGTTCTCCCTCTATGACATAGAACAGGTCACATGGAAGGTCATAGGTCATGAACTCATTTTTCCATTCCACCATTTTTTGTACCTGACTCCAGAATCTCCCTTCTTTGAGTGTTCTTGCCAGGTCATCTGCCAGGATAAGAATAATACACTGTTCATTTAATACAAGAGGCCCAGGGGCCACAGCGCTCACCTGAGCACATTAGCCAGGAAAAAGCACATATCAGATCAGAACTGAAAGTTTACTGGGGGGGGGGGGGGGGGGCTTAAATTTTAACCCCCCAGGGGTTCATGATTTGAACAAACTAGAATCTACACTACCTGAAGATGATTCCATATTAATATCACTAATCATAGCTTTGAAGTACTTGAAAAGATGATTTTAAAAGGTTTCCCTATAAATCCCTATGTAAAACTTGGGTTGGCCATTTTGGCCCCACCCTAGCCCCGGGGTCATGATTTGAACAGACTTGAATCTACACTACCTGAGGATGATTCCACATGAGTTTCATCTTTCCTGGCCCAGTGGTTCTGGAGAAGAAGATTTTTAAAGATTTTTCCTATATATTCCTATGTAAAACTTGGGTCGGCCATTTTGGCCCCACCCTAGCCCCGGGGGTCATAATTTGAACAAACTTGAATCTACACTACCTGAGGATGATTCCACATGAGTTTCATCTTTCCTAGCCCAGTGGTTCTTGAGAAGAAGGTTTTTAAAGATTTTTCCTATATATCCCTATGTAAAACTTGGGTCGGCCATTTTGGCCCCACCCTAGCCTCGGGGGTCATGATTTGAACAAACTTGAATCTACACTACCTGAGGATGATTCCACATGAGTTTCATCTTTCCTGGCCCAGTGGTTCTTGAGAAGAAGATTTTTAAAGATTTTTCCTATATATTCCTATGTAAAACTTGGGTCGGCCATTTTGGCCCCACCCTAGCCCCGGGGGTCATGATTTGAACAAATTTGAATCTACACTACCTGAGGATGATTCCACATGAGTTTCATCTTTCCTGGCCCAGTGGTTCTTGAGAAGAAGATTTTTAAAGATTTTTCCTATATATTCCTATGTAAAACTTGGGTCGGCCATTTTGGCCCCACCCTAGCCCCGGGGGTCATGATTTGAACAAAATTGAATCTACATTACCTGAGGATGATTCCACATGAGTTTCATCTTTCCTGGCCCAGTGGTTCTTGAGAAGAAGATTTTTTTAAAATGCCATTAATTTTTCTCTAATTCATAATTATCTCCCCTTGGAAAAGGGCATGGCCCTTCATTTGAACAAACTTGAATCCCCTTTACCCAAGGATGCTTTGTGGCAAGTTTGGTTGAAATTGGCCCAGCGGTTCTTGAGAAGAAGTCGAAAATGTGAAAAGTTTACGGACAGACAGACGGACAGACAGACAGATGGACAGACGGACGCCGGACAAAATGTGATCAGAAAAGCTCACTTGAGCCTTCGGCTCAGGTGAGCTAAAAATGATTCCTCATGCAATCAAGAAGAATAAAATTTTTATCCCTTATTGCAAAAATAAACAACTTTACTCTCAAACTAAGTTGGAAGGCTTGTGATGATATTTTGTTTTATTATACCTTTACTGTAATTACTCTATATAAAATTAATACCATAAAACTCATTTCCCTGAGTAGAGCTTATTTCCCTCATCTGAAGACTACTCCCTGGAAAATCAGAGCTACTCCCTGGGACTACTCTCTTATGAATATTCATTAGTAATTTTAACCAATCAAATTGTTCAAGGAATCTCGAGACTGTGACGTCATGTTATTAGCAATGTAACTATGACATCAAAACATTTTGACATATGCGATGTCAAAATCATACTTGAATTCTAGGAAAATAAAGACAATGATAATTCTTCGAAATGTCAGTGAAAATGCTTTTCATTATAAAAATAATTTAATTGTTTTAGGACACGGTGCATTATTTATCATACAATCTGTTAAACCGCATGTATTTGTAATTATTCCTCTACAGTTTTTTTTTAAATGTCGGAATATCTGGTAAAAAAAAAAATTTAATCGCCTATGAGTATTTCGGTATAATAAAAGTTATGGAATGGGTACAAGAGAAATAGCAAGTTTATGGTCCCCCTCAGCAGAAAACTATTTCCCTTGGGGAACCATAAATTTGCTATTTCTCTTGTACCCATTCCTAACTGTACACTATGGTATGAAACCTTATTCATTATGAGTTTATTTTCACATAAAAATAATAAATGGTGCACATAATAAAATTAAAGATACATGTATTAATTAACCAACCTACAGTATAATGCATATTTCCGAGATTTAATATATCATTTAGGGAAGTTTTTTTTATAATACTGTCATCAAATGGTCTATGAGGTCTTAAAAATCTTCAAGTTCACAAGTTGTTTCCCTTACTAAATCAATCCTCAGCCCTAAAGTCAATAAACTCTATTGTACCTGCTCTCTTCCTCTCCACCAGACAAGGTAGGGCCCTCTCCTCCCCCTGATGACGCCATCGCCAGCAGTAGTCACCCGACTTAAGTCTCCTGGTTCTGTAGATCATTCCAGCATTGTCCAACATCTCTCCCAGCTAAATATATCAATAAAGAGCATTACAATAAACACATATATTATAAAATATTTGATTAAAACAAGAGACCATAACAATATCATACTGAAAGAATATTGTTGTAAAAAATTTTTAAAAATTAATGGATATATTTAAAACTCCCAAACTGGCCACAGGTAGTGCAATGTAGAAGCATCTTTTTTGGATCTGAAACCTCAACTAATGGCCTAAATTAAATTGTATTTCAAGTACCTGATAACATTTAAAAGAAAAATTAGCATATTTTACCCTCCATGACAGTGATTTTAAATATTTTGTTTGGAACAGCATTTTGCTTCAACATAGTTTTTTGGTCAATAATAAATTACAGTGAATCACAATATGAGAACATTCCTGGTGAGTTTTTATTGTTAAATAAGCTATTGTGAGTACCGTAATTTTCGGGTCATAGGTCGATGGGGTATATAGGTCGAAAGGCTCATTTTCAGCCTTAATTTTTGAAAAATCCTAAGATAGGACGAACTTACTATATAGGACGAGGCTTTGTTTCCCGTTTTCTAAAGATTCTTACGCAGATACAACGTATCAGAACAGGTAAACCTCTAGAATTACCGGGGTTATTCCGTGACATGAACGTATCAAGAAAACAAACAGGTATTTTAATGAGTACAGCATTTAAATAAAGTTTTTAAAAAAATGTAGTTAAAACTTCGTTGAATTGTGTTACTACTTATTTTTCTTCAACTTGCCTGTTCAATGCCTCCGTAGTTTCATACTGTTGTTAAACCAGAGGCAAAAATAACACGTAAATACGTTCTTATTTTACAGCTATAATTCGGGAAATACCCGAGAACAAAGAATAATAATTCTGATTTCAGAACAACTTGGACACATTCTTAATATATTTTATTCAGACATTATTTACCGGTGGACGACAATTGCTTCGATGTCCGCCATTTTCAGTTTTGTTCTTCAGGGATTTGCTAAAACCCGCAAACGACCATTGAATGTATATATAAAGCAACAGTAAAGAATTGAAATAATATTACCACGCTATAAGTTTAATTATATATTTAATTGAGAGTACCGGTACATTCACAATTTGACAGTCATTATGAATTTCATGGCTTTGTTTGTTCAATGATGTGTAACACTAATACCCTATAACGGCACATGGATTTGCTAATCATGCCCTGCGGGTATTAAACCAACACAGGTGTTAAAGCCTTTGCGTGTACACACAGTGTAAATCCTTTTATCTGTGAGACAAATAAAATTCTGTTAGAAGCCAATCTTTGTATAGCGCTAATTCGTTTGACCGGTATTATAATTAAATAAAATAAAAAATATATAGTAATGACTATCGGTTTATTTGGTAATTAAATTTAGGAATTGACTGGCAACAATTTATTTCACTCATTTTACACTTAAAATAAATATAAGACTGTCACAATAAATAAAATTAATACTATTTCAATTTATCAATCTACTAATAAATGGTAAAACACTACATTTGTGATCTTGAAAAATTTTTCCGTATTTTAAATTTTGATACGGTTGCGGTTTTACTTTTAGTACACGGTAGCGACTTCCTAACTTCACAAGATGGCTACCGCATGGATAAAACGTTGAGGAATTATTTAGTTGATGAAGCACAGTTTTTTCCTTTGTCATCAACGGATATGTAATGGAATTTATTTTGTAAGAAAGCTATAGAATAAATATTTTATTGTTTACCTGGGCATTAATTTTTCTGCGTAAAATAATGAAAAAAGTTATGAAAGTAGCACAGATTTGCTTTGAAATTGACGTAAATTTTATTGATTTTTGGGCATTTTTCGTAAACTTGAGCCTTAGAAAGGTCGAATTCATATACTGGTCGACCTCAGCGGCTCTGCGGAAAAAAGTATCGACCTATAATCCGAAAATTACGGTAGCTTTTTACTGACCTGGATAAGGTTTCCCTGTTCACCTCCTAACTCTGATGTGTCCACTAACATCACAACTCTGTAAGTACAGTATTTAATCAAATTTCTAATTTATAATCAACAGGCTAAAGGTATAACCTATTGAAAGTACAATGTATCTTCAGTTCTAAAAAATTAGTATACTAATTTTTAAGTAAAAACGTAGTAGGTACCCATCCTGCCCTGTATCATTTCCAAGACGACAGTCTGTTCCCGTCTGGTCACACTGCCATGGTAACCGTGAGTTCGTCTTTCCCTCCCAGGGTGTGGATGTGACAGAAAAAGAGTCACAAGCTGAGGGTTTCTTCTGGAAACATTCAGAAGTGCCTGATGACAAATCTAAGGATTTCTCTGGTAAAACCCTACTATGTCCAGTGTTCAATTTGGGATAAGCCTTTGGCAAGGTGAGACTGGGGTTAGAGACGTTTCCATTGGTTCCAGCTGAAGCTGTACAAGACTTACCTGTGGTGATGTGAGATAATAAAATTCAACTTCATTATTTTTTTTTTTTAATGACTTTGCGGAAAATAATCAAGGTGTAAATTTCCATATATCTGGTTTGAGTCTGAGGTAAATTATGAGATGTACAATGCATAGTTTCTCTCACACAAAAAGCAAATATATAAAGTGCTAATGCATGATGCACTCTAGCATGTAGTTAATCTTGTTAATATTGTAGATCATTAGTATTTACATATGTAAGACCTTATTTCACAAGATAGGTACTTGGTACTTTAAAATTGTGACAGAATTTTCACAAATTTGCTCTCATATGAAGGAAAATAAACATTATACAGCAGATATTTTTCACCCGAAGAATCATCAACTTACTGTGATACACATACTAGGAAAACCAGAATATCAAACAGTTGTACAAACCTAGCAATGTGAGGGCTACTTCACGGCCTTCAGGTAAGAGGTGATACACAGGTAATTTTTTGTAGAATCTACGCTTGACATAGCCACGTTTGATGAGGACCTCAACTCTCCACCACGCTTGACAAAAACCTGACAAATTAAATTTTATCTTTACAACAATGAAAATATTTTTTTAATATACAATTAAAAATTTTAAAAGAGAAATTTAAAATCTGATGTTCTGAATTAAATTTTATTTTATATGACATTTTTATGTTGAGTTGAGAACATCCTCCAATAAATAACTACATTAGAGTTCTCAGATCTTCTGCTGCCAAACTTTAAAGACATTATTTCTATCTTATTAAACGCATGACAAGGTTTTGAATTCCTTTCTGTCTGTCTTAATTCAACAGTTAAGACTAGGAAAAAGACTCACCATCATGTGTGAAGTCTTCCTCACAAAGCATGGCTGCCTGAGTTTTCAGCTGTTCTTCTGAGATGTGATGGCTATCTTTTTCATTGCTATACAATTTGAGAAAAAAATCTTCAAAACTTTTTAAAGTTATGCAATGTAGTTATAAACACAAGAGGCCCATGGGCCACATTACTCACCTGAGCACTGTGGCTAGGAAAAAGTAAAAATTGGTTTTAGTCCCATGACCAATCATGGCTTTGCTATTCTTGAGAAAATGATTTTTAATGAATTTTCCCATATATGTCTATGTAAAACTTTGATTGGCCATTGTGGCCCCAACCTACCCCCAGGGGTCATGATTTGAACAAAATTGAATCTACACTACCTGAGGATGCTTCCATATAAATATGATCAATTATGGCTTTGTTATTCTTGAGAAGATTTTTAAAGAATTTTCCTATATATTTCTATGTAAAACTTTGGTCGGCCATTGTGGCCCCGCCCTACCTCCGGGGGGGGGGGGGGGGGGGGGGGGGGGGATTTTTGAACAAACTTGAATCTACACTACCTGAGGATGCTTCCATATAAATATGATCAATTATGGCTTTGTTATTCTTGTTGAGAAGATTTTTAAAAGAATTTTCCTATATGTTTCTATGTACGGGGGGGTCATGATTTGAACAAACTTTAATCTACACTACCTGAGGATGTTTTCCCATAAGTTTCAACTTTCCTGGCACAATGGTTCTTGAGAAGATTTTTAAAACATACCACCAAATTTTCACTAATTCTCAATTATCTACCCTTGAATGAGGGCGTGGGTCTTTATTTGAACAAACTTGAATCCCCTTCACCCAAGGATGCTTTGTGGCAAGCTTGGTTGAAATTATCCCAGCGGTTCTTAAGAAGAAGTCGAAAATATGAAAAGTTTACAGACAGACGGACGCCAGACAAAATGTGATCAGAAAAGCTCACTTGAGCCTTCGGCTCAGGTGAGCTAAATAGGGATTTATATCATCAATAGGCAGGAATAATTCAGAAAGATTCAATATATATACAAATGAGTGATTTGAGTAAATATGATTGAACAAGGCTTTTCTATCCTTTGTAAAACTCTGACTGCCCATTGTAGCCAACCCTTACCCATTAAAGGCATCATGATTTGAACAAACTTGAATCTACACTACCTGAGGATGCTTCCATATAAATATGATCAATTATGGCTTTGTTATTCTTGTTGAGAAGATTTTTAAATGAATTTTCCTATATGTTTCTATGTACGGGGGGTCATGATTTGAACAAACTTTAATCTACACTACCTGAGGATGTTTTCCCATAAGTTTCAACTTTCCTGGCACAATGGTTCTTGAGAAGATTTTTAAAACATACCACCAAATTTTCATTAATTCCCAATTATCTCCCCTTGAATGAGGGCGTGGCCCTTCATTTGAACAATGAATCCCCTTCACCCAAGGATGCTTTGTGGCAAGCTTGGTTGAAATTATCCCAGCGGTTCTTAAGAAAAGTCGAAAATATAAAAGTTTACAGACGACGGATGCCAGACAAAATGTGATCAGAAAAGCTCACTTGAGCCTTCGGCTCAGGTAGCTAATTTGATTTATATCATCAATATATAATAATTCAGAAAGATTCAATATATATACAAATGAGTGATTTGAGTAAATAAATTGAACAAGATTTTCTATCCTTTGTAAAACTCTGACTGCCCATTGTAGCCAACCCTTACCCATTAAAGGCATCATGATTTGAACACAATCTAAGGATGCTTCCATACAAACTGACTTATGTTGAATTTTCTGTTCTTGAGTAGATGTCTAAAGATTTCTCCTATATATGGCAATGTATATCTTTTCACCTACATGTATAGTGCCCCCTTACCTTGTGGGACATTATTTTGAACTTGAATCTACTCTGTCAGTAAGCTTTCACAATAATTTCATCTTTTCTGGCCCAGAGGTGAGGAGGGCAAAAAGGGTGACAACAAAATAGGGGCAAAATTTTGTTTTATCCAGTAATTCCCCTTAGAAGAAGGCATGGCCCTTTATTTGAATACTGTATACGGGGAAATTTTTTAAAACCCGTTTTATTTTTGCCCCTTTTGCCCTTACCTCAGTTGCGCGAATTTAAAAAGGGGAAAATTTAAAGAATACAGTATAATTTCTTAAACAAAACTGTGACTGGGTGAATTTAAAATGGGACAGAATTGTCTGCAAGTGTGAAAGGGAGAAAATAAAGTGGTGCGAAAATAACCCTGTATACAGTAACTTTAAATCACCTTTACTCGAGGATACTCTGTGCCAAGTTTGGTTGAATTGACAGCGATTCAGGACAAGATAAAATTGTTCAACTGATGTACTCTTTTAGTAGCCAAATTTTCCCATTTTTCATTTCATTTACTGGATTATTTTCTATAGAAAACCTAGTTAAGAAACAAGCACCTGTTGTCCTTGACCTGGTCCTCAGCTGTCATTAGAGCCACCAGTATGGCGCCGGCAGAACTCACAAACTTTCCCGACAAAGGGGGACTTCTGGACCAGCGATCTTCTTCTGCAAACTTCTTCAGTCTTTTGATTGTCTCTCCCCCAATCTATGGGGAAAAAAGTCAAGTAAAAATGTACTTTTTCAGAGCCAATTTCAATTTCCAAATGTTCATTATATTAATATATTTTTAAAAACATTTTGAAAAAAGATTGAGATTCAAAAATATTAATTTAAAAGGAAATGTGTAATTCTTTGCATTCCATTGCTGAATATATTAAAACCACATTCAACAATGTTCTACCTTTCCCATAATGTACCCGGTATGTATGACAAATTCAATCATTTCCGAGTAGTTTAATTAATTTAATTAGAGCAATAAATTGATATTTAAAAGCAAAGCTTGCAACACTACTCACATTCTGTAACTTTTGTGCCTGACGTGGTGATTTGATTGGTTGGGGACTCAGTTCCAGTGAGACAATGGCACGTGATGTACACTCTGCTGCAGACTTCAAGTAATGGCGTGTTCTCTGCCAACCTTCATACTGAATCAAGCCACGCAAAAATTGATGACGCTAAAATCATCAAAAACATCTGTGCATTTTCATTTTAATATATCAAAACATTCTTGATTTGGTTCATGGAATTTTTAATATATAATCAACTAATGAAGAAATGCAATCCAAAAAACTTAATGTCTCTTTAGAGAAGTGGACATTCTTTATTTCCTCTATAATATAGAGATGGGTTCTATCAGGGCTAGACAAATAGCACTGCCCGACGCTCGGGACAATCAGTTTTGGTTGGTGGGCAAGTAATTTGAGAACAGGTGCCTGCCCGCGGACAAGTTCTTTTCCAATAAACAAAAAAATCTTTTGTGTTATCGCTTTAAAAGTATCATGAATCACAGCAAAGCACTTGTTTTCACTGCTGTTGACCACTGCATCGCTGCATATGCGTACCTTGAATAGTCGGAACTCCTCTAGATTTTACCAATTAACGTATTAAAATTCAATTAAAATATGCAGATGTTGTAAAACATGGAGTTACCGATGTTGTCAAACATGGAGTTACCGATGTTGTCAAAAACATCGTATGGGAATTTAGACATTTATTGTCAAAATATTAAATTCATACTGTGAATACAGATGCTAGTGGTATTAAATTTGTTCTTGATTACTGTTCCCTGGAAATCACACAGCCATGGTGTTGATCTCTTAATTGACATGCAGTAATGTTCTGTTCACAGACTCGCGCTTGTGTTGTTTGTAGGTTTTATGAGATTGAACAGTGTCCGATATCTTCACCTTTTTCCATTAATTATTAAATAAATTAGTGTTGGCAACGAGTACCCGGTAAACCGTCGAACGATGCGAGTATCGGTTAGTAAAACTGCTATTCGGTTACTCGGATAAAATAAAGTCTACATAGTAAAGGCATAGAAAATTAATGTTTTATAATTTAAATGTATAATAACTTACACATTTCCTTAATTTGGGGTACCGTTAGACTTGATCTAGTGCACGGTTGTAGTGGATCAAATTGTTTTGATTAGTTTTCACAGTTTATATAATTGATAGCTTTGATTGCTTGGCCTAAGTTATAATTACCTCTGTCATTTGATAATTTAACGAGATGCCACCGCAGACATAATAAGCTTGGAGTTTTAACAAAAGAACAGCTGATTCAAAATCTGTTAAATCACCTAAGCTAAAAAATATTCGGAAACCAGCGATTTACTGGACACTCTACATATCACATATGTTACTATTAATTATGGAGCATGTATTAAATAATTATTCTACTTGATTGCGACATATTTCGGGGTCTGAAAAGGAAAGTGTAAAACGGTGATTGACGATGACGTATTTATTTGTCTTCTTCGTGTGTCGAATTCCCTATTTTCTTTATTTTAAAATCGTAAATACATGTATATGGTGATATCGCATGTGTGTATTGTAAATATAATGTCCCTATACAGTGTATTTGTGCATTACTACTACCAGTAAGTATAGAATAAGATAAAAGATGATACTTTTACCACAAAATTTCAGCTTTCCTGGTACTCGATCTTGAAGATGAAGATTTTTAAAGATTTGCCAACACTAAAATAAATACTTCATTACTCTTAGTGTATTGTTTAGGTGTCTCACTCAAGAAATAATTTAATATCAATACTTCAATTCTATGTAATTTAAGAAAAAGGTGGGACAAGCAAATTTTTTGGTAGGACAAGTAGTTTTACGATAGTAACCTGTCCGAGGGCAAGTACTGCAAAATTCTATTTGTCTACCCTTGTTCTATCATTTTAAGAAACATTTAATGACAACAGTGCATAATTTAATAATATACCGGTATGTACAAGTGCATTGAACAAAAGAATTCATGAACTTCTTCACAATGAAACTTAGAAAAGTTTTTTTATCTTTAGGACCATCATCACATTAGTTTGGACTTTCAGTGGGGCGTGGCATTCTCGGCGCTACGTAATGGCGAATACTAGTAGATTCTAATTGGTTAAGAAATTAATAACATCAGGAACTTTAAATTGTTGTTGACAATGATGAGATGACTTATACCCCACCTCTGTGCCGTGAGAGAACTTATAATTGGCTATTTACTAAACCAGTTGACATTCGGCCGAATTTCATTCCTATGTATATTTCAACATAGTTAGAATGATCTAACTGTGTCTCGGTACAAGCCTTCACCACAGTTAGAATACGTCCCATATACTTGCAAGTTGCAATGTAGCAAATCTGAGCTGATCTGCTCCGAAACGATTTTGAAGAATATAAAAGGATCTGCACTGGAAACAACTACCAAATTAATCAAAATAACCTTTTTGAGATTGCTTATGCCTTTTACCCCAGAAAATAATCCATATAAAGACGAAAATCAATTAATTTTCTCAACGTTTTTCTCTCGCTTCAAATTTATCTGCCATGTTTACATTCGGATTTCTCTAGATTGCTCGTAGTAAATGCACTGAGTTATAGTGAGTATGGGTTATCGCCCATGTTTCTTTTGCTACATTACGAATACACGGAATGAATTCTATCGTTAAACCGGGTCCGTAGGACAATATCATTTTTAGTGCTGGGTATCGCGCCGGAAAAATCGTATTGCGATATATTGCAATATTATATTTTGTATTGCAATATATCACGATATAACTATTTAATAAATTTTTGCTTTTCGTCAAGGTTAAATGAAAACACTGACTCAAATTACATGTATTCTTGAGTTGATATTCCAATTGCCTGATCGCGTTATGTCGACGCAAGCGGCAAGATAAGTTTTTTTGTAGCACAACTTGTTGAATTCAATTAAGTTGTAATACTCAGATTCAGCTTTAACATGAAGGGGTTTCATATAACAGTTGTCGTTTCGTTTTTGAAAGAGTCAGGTCTCGGATTTCTGATCACACTTCATGTCGCTTGCCGCCATATTTTACCTTGAAAAGGGCAAATAACTCTTTTTGTAACAATTTATAGCATATCGAACCCGAACCGGTATTCACAAAAAATACCGCGATACGTATTGTGAAGAACGAAATCGGGATACACCGGTTAACCGGTGTAACGTTGAATTTTGACCCGGGTTGAAAATTGACCCGGGGGTCATTTTTCAACGTTGAATACTGAGACTAAAGGTGTTGAATTTAGACACTAATCCGTTGAAAACTGAGTTGAATTTTGATCATGAAACCGGTTTAAAATTCAACAGCATAAAAATACATATTTATGACTGGGTTTTCACTACTGTGACTTAATTCATAGGTATGAGGCCCCGTTTTGGTATTTACTGCAAAAAGTAATATCCCCTATTTGAATAAGTGATATCACCTGTTCCAATAGATGATAACACCTATTTGATTTGAATTTGTGATATCACCAATGTAAAGGTGATATCGCCTATTCGAATGGGCGATATCACCTTTTCCCATCAAACAGCTGTAGTTTCTTTTTGCTTACAAATTAATTTATTTAATTCACTTATATATCATGTTATCAACAAGAAAATCGTAGAAAACGCATGAAAACTGGGTAGTCCGAATTTTCTTGGTTCCAGTGGTAATCTATATACAATGTATTACAGGGAGCATTCATTATTGACTGTTGTAAGAAACTCAAATAGGTTATATCACCATTACGAATAGGTGATAGCACTTATTCAAATAGGTGATATCACCTTTTATTCTAAGCTCTCTGACTTGATCACATGATTAAGTATATAACAGCATAAAGACTTGAATTACTATTCATAGAATCTGAAATGCATATTGACTTTATGTTTTTTTTTCTTGTGATCATATGCTATATTGCAGGAGTCCTTTTAGAAAATTTCATTAAAGTGAGTGACAGCATCCCCCCCCCCCCCCCCCCCCCCCCCCGCTTACTTTTTTTCACAGAACAAGTGTTAAAATGGAGATAATTTTTTTGTAAAAACAGAAATAGTATTGATTTCTCAATTAAAGATAATACAGAGTATATGACTTGATATTTCTGAAAAAAAAATTACTACAACTTGTATTAATATATTTTAATGTTCCGTAATTGATGAGACGTAACAATGCCTTGAAGTCTTTAATTAGGATCTACATGTGCTTTATATTAAAACATATTGGATACCTTTGTCAAAAATTGATACGAGACATAATCAAATAATCAAATTAGCATTCTGAATAACTAAATCCTCTATAATTACTCCATCAATGTATAAAACGAAACACATTTATTAAATATTAAAAAGCAACAGCTTAATTTATGCTTATCCCTAGTCTCTAAGTTCTACTTGAAGAGAGAAAACTTGTGCCTTATTCCCAAAATTTTCAAAGAAGATGGTTTTTTTGTTTCATTTAGTTTGAAAGACATTGTGGAATTGTTACATTTATGTCATTTTTTTCTAGGGGGTACTATAACATAATATTTCACAAAAAAATAAAACCTAAAATATATTTAATGCATACATGTAGATGCATGATACGTGTACATGTACATTATAAAATAGAAGATTAGAATTGATTTCGCTTGAGAACCAAACTGAACCAAAATTTATCTAATTCAAAATTTTAATACATCAGTACATAAAACGAAACTGACAAAATAAATGGTTGCTTGCCCGAATAAAAAAAAATAACGCTTATGCCAGGCTCGAACCAAAAACCTTTAGCTTCGAGTACACTGAACAGGTAGCTTAACTTTCTGAGCTATCACCGCTACACATATACAAACGTCTTTAAAAGGACAAAGACGCACCACATTGACACATTTGGATTTTTTGGGGAAAAGTTCATTTTTCGTGGTCTCTGCGTCTTCTCTCCATTTTTTTAAAAAAAAGTGTAATCGTTTCTTTGAATTAAAATACACACAACTAAAACCATGGAGAGAAGACCCAGACATAGAAAATTTTTAGAAAAATGTGTTTCAAAATGTACAATTTTGTGCCAAATGTTTGATATGGCCAATTTTCAAGTTATTTTTTAGCAAATCAAAGCTCAATTTCGGGAAAATATTTTCCGTTCCTATTGCACAGGAACCCGATAAATTGAAAAAATGTTAAAAATTTCATGTGACATGTCAATAAAATTTTCACTTTTCAATTACGCCCAGGTTCCTGCCGAATGCCCATCAAAAGCGCCCTCGTTCTTTTGTTTTGTCAATCTATGTGATAAAATGATTTATATTCGATAATAATGTGTAACTTTACATTCCTATTTAATTGAGTTTACAACCAATTCTAGTTTAATTTGTCATATTTCCCAGAATGCAATCATGACAATTATTGAAAAAGCAAAAAGAATTTTAAAAAAACATCGCATAGGAGATTATAGAGATAAAATTATGTAAATAAGATGAAAAGTTTATCGAAAGGAATCGTATTTTTTCGAATAGAAATGGATGCTAGTATGTTTTCGAACAACAACTTTATTGCATATAAACCAAATAACTATCGAATAAAAAAAATAAAATAAATCGAGTAGGAATGACAAAATTAGCGACTACATGTAGCAACCGATTGTTTTAAATATTAATGACATCGAATAGGAAACGCGTGTTTTCGAGAAAAAAAAATATGTAAATTTTATGATATATGAATCATATTGTCACATTTCCTGTAATTGGAATAGCAATTTATCGAATACAAATTACAAATAATGGAATAGAAATAAGTAATCAAATAGAATCACATTCCATAGAATAAGAATGTTTTAAAATAAGAATAATCTCATGCTCAAGTTTATGTTCCGAAAGCGATCAATTTTCAAGCCGAGACAGTCTATTGACAAATAAGTAGGGCTGTCACGGGTACCCGAAATGACCCGGAACCGCGGAACAATTCATTCGGTTCGGGTACGGTTTTGTTTTTCCGGAATTCGGTTCGGTTCCGATTTGTATAGTAGTGTAGGTTTTACTATAAAAATGGCGTCAAAAACGAGAGATTTCTTAATACATTGCAATTATAAGGTGATTTAAATAATATGGTACAATTGTTGTCTAGTCAGGAAGCTACTTTAAACTAGTTAAAATGTTGCTATTTCGAAGATTAAATGAAAATATTCTTTTTGTTGTTGAAAATAATACAAATCATTAGCTTTTATTCCATTAATTACCCGAACCGAAATACCCGAAACCGAACCTAAAAAAATCAGAACCGACCCGACCCGAAAAATTTTGGAACCGTGACAGCCCTACAAATAAGTTAATTGTTACAGGGATTTCAACAAATTATTTAAAGTCAGCATTACTTACATGCTATGGTCGCTATATTGCTCTTTTCACAAATATAACCTATCATTGGCATCATTTTCGTCGATGTGTTTCATTCTAATTTTTAGGCTATAAATTTTGTTACTTTTATACTGAATTTGACTGGATGGGATGTTCCACCCACCTGATCAATAAATATAGGGCTACTTTCTAGACTGCAGATTTTTAAAATTTTTGTTTTATGCCCTATTCGTTGTTATGTTGTTATTTATGGATGCCATGGATTTTGGAAAGTATTGTCAAAAATAAAGTTGTTATGCTTGAAGATAACTGAAATCGTGCACTGTTCAAAATGTACATGTATACACGGGGTGATACTGTATGTTTATTTCTATTATTCTTGAAAAGGGAAAAAATTGAAACCGAAATATAAATAAAGTGATGCTGATAAATCCCGTAAAACAACTTCACAGCTAAAAAAAATGTTCAAACTTTGAGGTGGGGTCAATATTCAACAGGGTCAATTTTCAACTTGTTGACGTCATCAGGTGTAAGAAAAAAAATATCAAGCTGTTGAAAAATGACCCCGGGTATAAATTCAATATGACTTTTGGTCTCAATATTCCACGTTGAAAAATGACCCCGGTTCAATATGCCGTTGAAAAATGAGAATTTTAAACGGCTTTTTCAACGTTACACCGGTAATATCGCACAGCACTAATCATTTTAACGATAGAACGTTCTATCTAATTTCAACAGTGAAGGAAAGCTGTTTAAATTTCAGAAGCTAATTAGGTAACGTCGAGAATGCCATGCCTTACTGAAAATACAAGCTAAATTGTTAATGGTATTTGTAATACCTTGATAAAGCTATATACCTTAAGCAGGGTATTGTGCTGGACCTGTATACTGCATGCGTGACTTGAGTCAAATGTTTTTATCAAATGAATAAATAATCAAAAATAAAAATGCATTTTATAATTTTTGGAGAAAATGCATATAAAAAGCTACATTGAGACATTTGAATAGCTCAATAAAGCTATAGAGCTCAATCAAGCTATAATCAAGAGATTGTTATATCTTATCAATTAATTAGGATGACAATGCCTGTCCACTTCTCAATAGCATTCCCTCCATCATATTCATCAGTACATTATGGGTCAATCAGAATACAAAAACTCTAGTTTCTCTCTCTTGAGATGATTAAGGAATGAATGCAAACCAAGTCTGGAAAATTTTCCCCAACTTTTTCGTGTGATCCCGCCATCAAGTCACATGTTAACTCATTCGATAAATTGTTTAATTTGAAGATTTATTATGTAGCATATAGTATTTCATTTAAGCTTCATGATGCTAAAGATATGTTTTGAACGTTTGAGAAAATAGACATAGCCATATATTTATAAACATCAATTATTTATCGACAAATACAAGTACGAGTTACTTTAATTTTCAAGATGGAGCCGATTTTCAGGAAGAGAAACCGAGAACTCATGTTAATGGAAATTGAACAAGATAAGAGATTGGTGGAGGCGTCAAGATCGGGAGATATAGATCTAGTTAAAACGCTGCTAAAGACAGGAGCCTCCCCCGATGCCACTGAGTACAACAAGAGTTTGTTTTACGATTCTAAAAATTACCTAACACCACTGATGACGGCTGCTTCTCAGGGTCACACAGATGTTGTCAGGTGGCTGATAGAGAATGGAGGTAGATCTTTGCCGTGAGATTTTAAGAGCGAAAAAATATTTTTAGCATTGTACGTAACGGCTGAATTGTTAAGAATAAACGATGATTGTCTTCAAAATTATTGTTAATTAATAGTTATCTCCCTTTGTCTCAAAATCACAATCTGTAAGCTGACTGTTCTGAAAAAAAGAAATGGGATGGACAAGCACAATCTACAGTAATTTACCGTATATATGTTTTAGCTGTCATATGAAGCTAATACTTAATACTGTGCCTTCTTAAGAAACTCTTTTATATTCTTTTTCAAAATCATATAAATTGATAGTCCTCCTTGTCCTGAAATTGATACCATTCAACATTTTACCCACACTCATAATGCCATTTAGGATGGCAAGAAAATTTTGTGCAAATATTAACAGCAAGAGTAGATGATTTATGTCTAAGGAATTGGGAGAAATAAATCCAGAAGCAGCAATGGCCAGAGTCGTCTTAAATGTTGTGTGCAACAAATTTGCATTTTTTCTATGACTGACACTGCAGATCTCTAGTCTGTTAACATGTTAATATTTTAATTTTGTGAGTTATAGTTCTGGCGCTAATTAATCCCCCCATTTTTTTTTCTAATTTACCTGAAAAATTCATAGTTGCAATTATGAATCAAAAGGACACCTTGAGTAAATTTGATGTGACAAATACCAATAATGAAATGTGTCCTTGTACAACACTAGTCCTTTCACTCCTTTGTATTTAAAGACAGTTCAGACATTGCATTTTATTTATGAAAAGAACTGAATTTAACAATTTGTTTTTACAGCCAGTGTAAATGCTAGTGACCGGTTTGATGTGAGTGCTTTACACATGGCAGCAGATGAAGGTCATGTGGACTGTGTTGCCTTACTCCTAGAGAATGATGCTATGTGCAATAATGGAACTAAATACTCAAAACATGGATCATACACTGGTATGTACACTCCTTTGTCATTAATGTGAACATTCAAGCTTTTTAACTTTTTATACATTACTTTTATACAAATTAAATGTTTTCATTTAATCAAACAATCTTTTTAAACAAGTTGGTGTGGGATTAAATTTTAAATTGGGTTTTTTCTTAAAAGCATATTTTATTAATTTATAATTTTAACATTTTTACTTATAACATTTCAACTTGTGTATGTATAAAAATATTGACATCTATTTTAGCATTTCCACACCCAGGAGGCACAACCCCTCTACATCTAGCAGCTAGTGCAAACAACATTGAGTGTGTGACTATGCTGATATGGCATGGAGCTGACTACAATGCAGTAGATGAATATGGAAGAACAAGTTTATACATAGCTGCCCAGAAAACCTTTGAAGAGTGTGTGCATGCTCATCTAAATAATGCAATCTGGAAGGACATTTTGTCACTGCCTGCTAAAGATACAGGTACATTTATTTAAAAGCAGGTTTAATACAAGATCTTAGTTTTACCTGTTAATAACTCACACAAGCAGAAATATTTTTTTCACTATCAAAATCTCAGCCTTTGGTGGCACACATCTTCACAAAATCAAGCTTGTTTATTGTAAGAAAGTAATTTGGCCTTATTTTAGTACATGTAGTAACTCCATCATCAGATTCCAGGGGTTTTCTCCACTACACTACATTTAACATAGCGAAACAGAGAGATTACCTATGGTTTCGGACAATAGGAGTAAGTCTATTTATACATTTTTGTTGAATTGCAGGAGATACACCCCTTCATGAATGTGTGAAGAATGGAATGTTGTCTTGTATCCAGGCTCTTCTTCGTAAGGGTTCAGATGTCAATCACAAGAATTTACAGGGATTCAGTCCGTTACATATTGCTGTCCGAGCGGGGGAGAAATTCTCCATAGAGATCTTACGAGAACTAGTCACTAAGGGCTACAACACAGATGTCAATATACCTGAGTCACTTGGTAACAAAAACAGCTATCATAAAGCATTACAGCAGTTGTTAAAATATACATTAAACTACAGTCAAAACTTTGTTCTCTCAAACTTGATGTGACCCAGAAAAAAGTTTAAGATATCAGAGGGTTCTAGATATTCTAGGTAAAAATTCTTTAAAAAAAGTACATAGGAAATCAGTCATTTCAACATATCCATTGTATTCAAGATATCTGTGTTTTGAGATACAAAAGTTCAACTTTAATTAAAACAGATTTATTCCTTTTGTCAGATTAAAACGCATGTGTCATACTTTGAAATTGACAATTTGCAATAATGAAAAACTTGATTATCTTTTATTTCAGGGTTCACTCCCCTTCATTATGTTTGTTTTCATGAAAACAATATGCAAGAGAGGAGACCAGAGGCAGCAGCTTTACTGATTTCATATGGTGCTAACTTTAATGTGCGCAATAGAAATAATGACAGTTTACTACAGTATGAACTGCGAAGTAAAAATCGTGACATGACCATTCTTTTTGCCATTGCCAAAAGTGTGGCTTACCTACCTACCATTGAATCTTTATGTATATTCCCCCCACATTCCCAGTTAATCCCCACAGACTACAGTGCTATAAATAGAAATATGGTGAAGCTGATCAAGAACGACATTCAGTATTATAAGATCATGTGGTACAAGGAGCTGACGCGTGACCCCCGACCCCTACAACATTACTGTCGCTGTGTGGTCAGGAAAGCCATGGGGGTGCAGAGGCTCGGACAGATTGAAACACTGCCCCTCCCCTCCACCCTGAAGGAATATCTTCACCTACAAATGGAGGAGTTTTCAGTGACAATTCCAGAGGTGTCTGACCACACATGATAGAGTGATATATAGACATGGTTTGTAAGACTCTATCTAGTGCTGTTTTTTATTTAGTTTTTAAAGATCTTCAGTGTAAGACTAGAGGTGGTTTGTGTGTTGTTCTAGTTTGTGAAGATCTGTGAGTGATTTATTGTAAAGGTGGAAATTTCCACATGTTGTTATTAAAGCTGAACACTTCTCATAAATAGGCACTGTCAGGCGGGTATACAAACCGTTTGATTTCGTTACACTCGATTACACACTCGAAACTCGTGGCCGACATGTAGTACAATGTACTCCTTTCGTGGTCTTAGATTTTTCCCTTTAATGTCTTGTTTTTATGTGCATTTTCTGTTTGTAAGTAATTTATTGACCTGTATTTTTCATGATACTTTTGTCCTGTTCTGGAAAAATAGGTTAAATTTGATTATTTCATCGCAACCGAGTAGCGCGGCTGTGTAAGATGTACGTCTACACTCATCGGATCTCTACAGCAAAATAAATTGAACTGATAAGCTATCTGCTCCAGTGCTCCTTATATATGGGTTGTAGGGAGAGCGTTGAAGAACGGGAAATATGGCGGACTATGCCATTTAATGAGTAGTGTTCAGCTTTAAAATAAATCTGTAATACAGGTCCAATTCATGATTTAGATGAATGCATTGTACATTTAAATAGAGTGCTAAATTCACAGTGACAAGTGTTATAGATTGAAAGACTCTAAAGGTTGTTTTTCTTATATATATATTAACAGATTTGTTACAATGTATAATAATTGTATATATTAGTGAGCTAGAATACATAAGTGCAATAATTGTCTCGAGTTTGTCCTTAAAAGTATTCTTTTTAATTAAAATAATTATATCATATATAATGTTGAATGTGACAAGGATAAGTAGGTGGGTTTTTTTTTCTGAGGAATCATTTTAATCGTGGAGATCAGTAAGGGGCAATGGCAACCAAAATTTTATTGCTTTGTGGGGACATAATTTGGTAAATAATTTGTAAACACAGAGGATTCAAGGGTTGACTCATTTAACAATCAAGGGTGGCTCTTAGAATCTACAAATATTAGTCCCTCAAGAAAAACGATTCCACAGCAATGAGAAAAAAAGAGTCCATTCCATCTGATGAATTCATCTGGAGATTCTCCTTTCAGATGCCTCACAGAGTTATTTTGATATAACTTCAGCAGTCCTTTTTGATTACATCTTTCCTTTGATATTATCACCTTGAACATTTTTAAACTGTTGGATAAAAATAGGAAGAAATATATGATTTTTCTGTGTGCAAGAACACTTGGATGTTCCAAAGAAATAAAAGTTTGATAAAGTCCCTAGATATTCTGTGTGAAAGTCTGATATTCCTCATAAAAGAAACATTTCAATGATCATTTCACCACTTACATATTCCTTTTAATAAGACATCTCTTAATTGAGAGGATCTGAAGTGTGTCCTATGGTTACACATGTACAAGTTCATTGTGATATTGTTTTGTCTACCCAGTACCTGATCTATATAGGAATGTTTTCTTCCAATGTTTGAGAAAATGACTTGAGAAGATATCAGTCTACTTGATCATTTTTGATGAATGTAACAGTAAAGATTTGAAGTTTATGTTAAATTGAACTGTGTATTGAAATTATTTATAGAAATAAAAGTTTATAGATCTGCTTCTTCTTTAATTTTAACGGTCATTGTTAGGTCGATATACAGTGTTCTTTGTTTAAAGTAAATATAGAGAATGTAAATCAATATTTGGGCCACAAAAAAATATCTACTGTACAAAAACCAAATTCAGAATAAAGATTTTCCAATGAAACAATTTTCCCTATTTTTTTTCAAATTGAAAATGAAATGCAAAATTGATTTTCCTTTAAAATGTTTCATGATGAATAACATTTTAAAATTCCATCTTTTAAAAGCATTTCATAGACATATATTGAAAATGCTTTAGTTAAAAAAAATCAGATCAGAGGCTGGTCACACTGCAGTTTTGCCTAGCCTATGGTTGTTCACAATGAACATTTCTGTCCCTGTGCAGCAATAAAACATACTGACTGTGCCTTCACCATGTGATTAACATTAGAAGTGATAGTCACAAATAGCTGTATCAACAGCTTGAATTCATGTGGCATCCCTAGTGATTATTGCACTGTGTTATATTTTATTGCTAAGCTTTTACTGTGACATCATGCAGTCAATGTGGTTCAACTAGTTAGGTTATATAAAAAAGTCTGTTGCAGCAGTGATAGATACTACATGTATACATACATGTATATGCACATAGTACCAGTAGTTGTAGTCTAGAATCTGAGAATAAACAGCAGCCAGTATTTTGGCCAAATAAAAATCACATCAAAATCACAATGACTGAACAAACAAAGAGATGGTTCTCATGGTTTTTTAATTAGTACTTTATCTAACATGAGAAAATGAAATAAACAATCAAAACAAAAACTCGAATGTGAAATCTGATACATTAAGTATACTTGTAAATGTACTATTGAAAGCTGGCATATGCAGGTTCTTTACAATATTTTTTTAATATCAAGTACATGTATCAGAAAAAAATAACAAGATAAACCTGTTTGCTTAAAAAAAATTCCTGCCAATAACTGAATTCTGAAGAAGAAAAAATTATACTTAATGCCATATAACTACAGTGTATCTCTGACATGAAAATAAGGTTCCATGATTATTTTGTGATTTACAGAAACCTAGTATAGTATAAAGCTATGTACAATACACAACAAAAGCTAAAGTCTTTATTTCATGGCCCAAATATAAATTTGAATTCTAATTTTCACAAGACCAAAACATTTGAATATGCATTCCCAAAGAGTATATACATGTAAATAAAAGATTATGATTAAGACAAATTACATAGATTTTTCTTTACACCTACTTGTATCCCACCTTTTGCAATAAAGAGGGTATATGCTAGTTGTAAATTATGTCCTCTAAATTAAAAGTGAAGCAGCCTAAGCATGTTGGGGATCATTTTAATTACTAATTACAAAATCTATAACTGTAAACTACTAGCACTGTCAGTTCTTATTAGCTAATGGCACAAAAAATTTCACCAGAAATTCTAAGATGAAACAATATTTGAGAAACACTGATGTCCCCATGAGGAAGCTAAAGTCAAAGGTAAGTCAAAGTTGTCTCAAATGTAAGTAAAACATAAGGGTCCAGATAAAAAGTGTTGGTACAATCGTCTTGACACAACTGATACACATCAAATATGAAAGCCTTAGCACCCACCATTCAAAAGTTATGGCCAAGGTTTTTTTTTTTTTTTAAAGTGAGTCAAACTTCAATGTCAAAGTTTAGTGGTAAAAAAATCTGTAGCATTGGAAAGGTTTAATCATATAATATACAACATGAAGTATGAAAGTCCAGTTACCAATGGTTCAGAGGTTATGACAAAGTTAAAGTTTGGTGAAATTTCATTAGAAGATCACGGAATTTTTGGTAATTATCAACTTTGGCATTTAAGAAAGTAATAATACAATCAAAGGTTATATGCAAAGTTGAGGTCTTTTTGGAAAAAGACAAACAGAGGGACAGTACTTTTAGTCCCCTGAATCTTTGCTTTGGGGGAGTATTAAAGATTCATATACCGTATAAAACATAACAGTTCCAAATGTGAATAAATATAGTTACATGTACATGTGAGTTTTTGATTGTAAGTGCATTCAAGTTTTGTTTGTAGTTTAATATCAAGAGTTCTGAATTAAATTGTATTAACACATGTACTAAGTGAACATATACGTGTACATAACCATGTGTATATAGTCACTGTGGTACTGTTGTAACTGATCAGCAGATGGATAGTATACATGGACTAAATAAATATTTAAAAAATTCAAATTGTTTACATTGTTCTTAGGATAAAAAAAATACACATTTCCTATAAACACATGTATATTTTAAATGTGTTGGTATTGTTTTATTTTTGATACATGATTTAATTTTTCAAAAATCAAGTATATATACAAAAAATATTTAATAATATGACATTTACACTAAAATTCCATTTTTCACTTAGAAAACATTGCACAGGTAAATTCCGGAAATGAAAACAAAATTATGTTCTGATAAATTGTAACAAATGTAAATGAAATAAAAAAATGTTTGAAATGCTATGCATATTTCCTAATGACCAAAGTTGGTTATGACAAAGGTTAAAGTTTGGTGAAATTTTGCAGAAAGATCAAACTAGAAGATCACGGTCAGGAAGTACCCAGTAAAATAAGTTGGGACCCAAACCAAAGCCTTGGCACAAAAATAAGAAAGTAATAATACAATCAAAGGTTATATGCAAAGTTGAGGTCTTTATGGACAAACAGACAAACAGAGGGACAGAACAAAAACTTTATTCCCCTGGATCTTTGCTCTGGGGGAGTATTAAAGATTCATAAATAAAACATAACAGTTCCAAATGTGAATAAATATAGTTACATGTACCGTGCCTGTTTTTTTGAATGGAATAAGTGCATCAACTGATAAAGTTTGATTGTAAGTTTAATATCAAGAGTACTGAATTAAATATTCAAACAGTAGGTGAACATATATGTGTACATAACCATGTGTATATAGTCACTGTGGTACTGTTGTAACTGATCAGCAGATGGATAGTATACATGGACTAAATAAATATTTAAAAAATTCAAATTGTTTACATTGTTCTCAGGATAAAAAAATACACATATTCTATAAACACATGTATATTTTAGTAATGTGATGGTATTGCATAAATATTAAAGAACATTCTGATACATGATTTAATTGATTCAAAAATCAAGTATATATACAAAAAATATTTACAATATGACATTTACACTAAAAAAATGTACCTATCCAAATGAAATATTCAGAATAACAAGTAATAAACACAAACATTTGTTTGGTACTTTTTTCATAATTGTTCATTGCTGGATTCTTATTTAGCAGTTTAAATTTGAATTGAAAGAGGATTTCCAAAGCTAGCTCTGTGATTAATATGTACACATGTACTTATAATGTTCATGGTTTAATCAGGAATGTGACCAGCTGTGTATATTTATCCTGAGTGGTCTACCTGGCTATTTGGATAATGACATTATAGGAAAATAGCACACAATAAAAAATATTGATATGTCCTGTCATTTGACATTTCAAGTACATTACTAAATGCAAATTGTGTATTCTATATGTCAAGTTAAGGAAATACACAATTAAGTAATGCAAATTTTAATAATGTGGTATACAGTGGACCTTCAGATATCCGGATGCTTCAGTATGCAGACAACTTTTCATTGGAACAGAATTTCTATATGTAATTTTGTCTTGTTTGACAGGTAATTCAGGTATCTGGATGCTTCACATATCCGGGAAAATTGACTGGGAACCAAAGTGTCCGGAAAAATGAGACTCCACTGTATTTTAAATTTTGAGAAGGCCATTGCTCATGAGACAATTTAAGAATTTCCATCTTTTTGTCAGTGTATCAGTTGTTTGAACTATGTTTTATATGCATCAGACCTTAAAGGCAGAGATTTTTTACCGGGTGGTAAATTCCAGGTGAGGGAGGGGCTTATTTTGTACAGGTGTGAATGCCTTGGGGGCTAGCAGTCTACCTGTGCTCATCTGTCTACTAAACCCTATACACAGGAAGTGATTTATTACACAGTGAAATACACAAACTTTACCTGAGTTGGGAATTTTGATACAATTTTAAAACAAGAGATGTTTGTAAAACACTTATGCCCCCTCCCCCACAAATTGGAATTTTTCTAAGTCCAAAAGGGCAGAACTCTGTCAAAAATGGTGTGATCATACCCAAAACATAACTTGAAGTAGATATTCATCTGACTAATATGTATACTAAATTCTATTTCAATATGTGCAACCTCTCCAAAGAAAATGAACGGAAACTGCAAATAATTGGAATTTTTCTAAGTCCAAGGGGCATAACTCTGTCAATTATGGTGCGATCGTACCCAAAACAGAACTTGACCTAGATATTAATCTGACTAATCTGTATACTAAATTCCATTTCAATATGTGCAACCTCACCAAAGAAAATGAACGGAAACTGCAATAATATGGAATTTTTCTAAGTCCAAGGGGCATAGCTCTGTCAATTATGGTGCGATGGTACCCAAAACAGAACTTGACCTAGATATTAATCTGACTAATCTGTATACTAAATTCCATTTCAATATGTGCAACCTCACCAAAGAAAATGAACGGAAACTGCAAAAATATGGAATTTTTCTAAGTCCAAGGGGCATAGCTCTGTCAATTACGGTGCGATCGTATCCAAAACAGAACTTGACGTAGATATTAATCTGACTAATCTGTATACTAAATTCCATTTCAATATGTGCAACCTCTCCAAAGAAAATGAACGGAAACTGCAAATATTTGGAATTTTTCTAAGTCCAAGGGGCATAACTCTGTCAATTATGGTGCGATCATACCCAAAACAGAACTTGACCTAGATTTTCATCTGATATACCTGTATACCAAATTTCATTTCAGTATGTGCAACCTCTCCAAAGAAAATGAACGGAAACTGCAAATAATTGGAATATTTCTAAGTCCAAGGGGCATAACTCTGACAATCAAGGTGCGATCATACCCAAAACAGAACTTGACCTAGATTTTTATCTGATATACCTATATACCAAATTTCATTTCAGTATGTGCAACGGTTATGAAGAAAATGAACGGAAACTAAATGGACCGACAGACTGACCGACCGACAGACAGCAGCAAAGCAATATGCCCTCCCTTCTTCGAAGGGGGGCATAATTATATAGTAGTAAAAAGGTTTTCAATTACATATTGATTTATTTTGACTGTTTGAAAACACCCCTACCCATTTAAAAAACATTAATATGATAACGTACTATAAATTAAAATATTAAAACAAAAGATTGTTTTAGATGTTAGCATATGTGTTAATTAAAAAAAACAACTCTTGTAACAACTAAATTACACCTTATATTCATTCATACCTAGGATCCCATCTTTTATGAAACATGCTAAAAAATTGCTTGTAAATTCTTATCTGAATAAAAAAGGAAAATATAAGTGACCCATGATTAAAAAAATTATTTTAAATTTTATCACTTCACACAGTGCTGCTCTGAACTTCACCAATAACATTCCACTTTGGGTTTATCATTTAGCATATTAAAATTAATATCAAAATTTCATTTGAAAAAAAATGTTTTTTTTTATAAATAAAGGTTATTTTTTCTAATGTACATTAATATTGTAATCCTTTCAAAGACTTAAAGCATATTTAATTCATAAATTAACAATCTAAAAAAAATTCATAGTAATACAGTTTCTGTGTAACATGTTCAGTAGACATCAAAGGATCATAAGTTTAACAGAAGGTCACCATGAGTCCCAATCAAGGTGGACAGGGTATACACAGGGATCAGTAAGTAAGTGTCAATCAAGTTCCAGCATCCAATGATGGACCTACACGCACTTGATTGACAGGGATACCCAGACCAGGTATTTTTGAAGGCGGTGCTAAAAATCTCTGCCTTTAAATGAGACCCCAAGAAACCAGTAAAATTTTGATTGCCAATGAACTTTGACCCCCATCCCTCCACTAATTCACTGAATTAAAAGATTCACTGTACATAAAAATGCCACCAGTTTGCTCAATTGCAGACAGTATCATAAAACTAAGCAAGTCAACTCTATAAAGTGACTTTTGTTGACACTTGCAGTTGTGTCTTTAAGATTCTAAATTTTTCTAAGTTTTTGTATTTCCCTGAAAGACAAAATTTCAAACTTAGTCACCTAAAATACAGAAATATAAATACAACAAATATTTCCAAATGATTTGGCATTCCCTACAAATTGTCTCTAATTCATATCTTCTTTATCACAAATCCTTAAATATCAAATGCAGCTTCACAAATGTGTATCATTTTGTACAATGATTTACATGTGTTTGGCAGTTTGAATAAACTTCCAACCATTTTCATTCTAACACAGAGTAAAAGTCTATTCAAAATCACATTTACATGCATTTTCAATTATATTATCAATATAAAAAGAATTAAATAATCTTTGATTCTGACATCAGCTGCGTAGTGCCTCCAGTCGACTTGTGAGATCTTCGTCTTCATCCTCGGACAGAGCAGTGGCGCCCTCTGGCTCATGCACAGGAAGTGTATCGGCAACAGCTGCCGGGGCTTTCCCAAGCTCTCCTGTGATAAAGCAACAACACACAGTTACAAATATCATTTGTATTTGAATTTATTTTATATTTGTCTTATTTGTATGAAAAGGAGGAGAAGGTGATATCATATCAATTTATTTTAGTTACTGTAATTCATTTTAAACTGAAAGTATAGCAATAAGTTTGTTTTTCGTTTTTATTTTTAAAAAATACTAACGTTGAAAACCAAAACAGAGGGAATAATTGTCCATATTGAGGAGAATTACTTTGAACACATTTTCATAAATGGAACAAATCACATGAGGTCATAACCTTCTGCTGTGAGTTTATTACCTACAGTGAGTTATTTACTTACTGCTGTGTTTTAATTACATTCTAAGAGTTCATTGCCTGCTCTTAGTTCATTATCTATTTTTAGCTTATTACCTACTGTGAGTTTTTCACCTGCTGTGAGTTCATTACCTGCTGTGAGTTCGTAGAGGACTTTTTCGACCTCTGAGTCGGCTTCTTCTTCCAATTCATCATCATCATCCAGGGTCTCCATTGTATCCTCTAACATTTCCTCCAGAATACCCGCCTAAAACATAAAATAGTCATCTCCAGAATACCCGTCTAAAACATAAACATAAAATAGTCATCTCCAGAATATCCGCCTAAAACATAAACATAAAATAGTCATCTCCAGAACACCTGCCTAAAACATAAACATAAAATAGTTATCTCCAGAATACACGCCTAAAACATAAACATAAAATAGTCATCTCCAGAACACCTGCCTAAAACATAAAAATAAAATAGTTATCTCCAGAAAACACGCCTAAAACATAAACATAAAATAGTCATCTCCAGAATACCCGTCTAAAACATAAACATAAAATAGTCATCTCCAGAACACCTGCCTAAAACATAAAAATAAAATAGTCATCTCCAGAACACCTGCCTAAAACATAAAAATAAAATAGTCATCTCCAGAATACCCATCTAAAACATAAACATAAAATAGTCATCTCCAGAATACCTGTCTAAAACATAAACAGAAAATAGTCATCTACAGAATACCCGCCTTAAACATAAAATAGTCATCTCCAGAATACCCGCCTAAAACATTAACATAAAATAGTCATCTCCAGAATATCTGCCTAAAACAAAAATATAAAACAGACATCTCCAGAATACCCGCCTAAAACATAAACATAAAATAGTCATCTACAGAATACCCGCCTAAAACATAAAATAATCAGAATACTTGTAACTGCCTTAAACATAAATAATGAACAGAAAAATGGAAATGATTTGGTCCTAAATATTGTTTTCCCCAGCAACAATATTTTACATTATCATTTGATTGAATATTTCAGATTTGCCCAATCTGGCCACAGACACATGTATCTAACATGATTTTCCAACTACTGTAACATATCATCAATTTTCTTTTTCCCCCTTTAAAATCAACTCTAACAACATTTAATGTCAGCTTAGCAAATATTGTTTTTAACATACTTTACTGACAATGTATCAAAGTTAGAAACAGGTACATGTACTTCTAGGTGTCTTTACCTTCATCATTTCTTTAGACATTTCTCTCATGGTGGCCTGGATTTCTGGGATTTTAATCAAAGCCTGCATGGACTTCATCACCTCTGTGCTCTTCTCCAGGGCACCTGCTATCCTTAAGGTGGCTACAATATACCAAAAATAATTACTGATAGAAAAGTTACATCTACTACCTTTTTTGGTCCAGTCAATAGCTCTGTATGTCCCAGATTTATTCAAATCCATTTTTAACAATATCTAACTAGAATTCCAAGAGTTACAAAACTAACCTAAGTCATTATTTTATTCCTAACAAGTGAACATGTTTTATAAAGAAAACCCTTTTTTATACAATAAACTCCATCCTTAATTCTTACAATTTTCTCAAACTGTCGAAACTATAATTGGTACTATTTCTCACAAATATTTTTTTAAACAAAGAAGCTTAAACATTTTAATGCAACATAAATTGAGATAATTTGGAAGAATCAAGTAATTTAAAATTAAAAGACAAAATTTTATATCTGCCCCACCTAGCTGATTTTTCATCTGCATTTGAACTGAGTTCATGTGGGCCTTGGATGTGTAAAGCCTGTTGACAGCTTTCCGTGACCTGACGATTTCTTTAGCAAGGATTTTACATGATTCTTTCTCTCCTTTTTTAGCTGATTCCTTCAAAGACCTTTTGACTTTTTCTTCTTCTCTTTGAATACCTACAAAGCAAACAGGAATGAGTTCAAAGGGTGTTAATAACATGTGATGATTTGTTATCACCTGCTATAGGAATGTAAGTGTAATGTCCTTTGTTTCTTAGAGCAGGTAATTATATTTTATCAGGCTCAAAACTGCCATATTCATAACTGTATATCGATTCATATAAATATTTACCAGTATTAGCTAGACTATATATCTAATTTGAGTTATAGAACAATTATCTAATATGTAACCCCTTGGGCATTTAGTTTTGACTGTGAAAAAATGCATCTGAACTACAGAACAAGATTTCAGCTACAGGTATTTCATTGGCTAAACAAAAGATAACTCTAATGTGAACTCATATGGGATGTTGTTATATGTTTGGAAAGTGTACTGGATTCGAAACATTTGTCACAGGTGGTGAAAAGTCAAGTCTCAACCAGGACTCGAAGTCTCAAACCCAGGGCGTTTGGCGTTACGTGCCAGTGCTCTAACCAACTGCAATATATTGACTGATTTTCTGTTTCAAGCACCTGTGAACCCTATGACATATTCCCCCTCTTTGTAGAAATTCATCTTAAGTTAAGGAAATGAGTGAAGCATATTCCAAGGGAACAGTGAGTTTTTTGGTTGAGCGCCACAGGTGATGAAAACCAGAGTCTCAACCGGGACTCAAACCCAGGGCCTCTGGCATACTGTGCCAGCACTCTAACCAACTGAGCTATTGAGACCCGATAAATTGACTGAATTTCACGCACCTGTGAACCCGATGACATTTTAAAACCCTTCGAACCCTTAAATTGGCTTCAGAAACAAAAGAATGGATCACCTACCTCTAATCTGTCTGTCTATGTTGTACCCTTCCTTTCTCAAATTGTGGGTCCATTGATTCACCTGTCAAAGAGAATGATTATTTAAAAATATATCGATGTTTATCATTCTAGCATGACAAGTCAATCCCAAGGCAAGTAAAACAAGCAAAGGCAATCTTCACGACAGAGGAAATTACAGTTAACATAATCATTGAGAAATGTCAGTCTGTAAAAAGTATTCAAAATAAATATTTACCATTTCCTTTGGGTTTTCTTTTTTCTCTTTCCCAAAAAGACCCATTTTTTACTAGTATTCTAAACTTCACATCTATCAAATTAAAAATAAAAAGTAAACAAATAAATTCACTTTAACTTCCTTTTGCGATTGCGCAATGACACTGATAAGTCAAAACAGCTCGCGCTACAACAGATTCCTACGTGAAATGCAGAGATGCATTTCTTCATTAAATATGTACCTGGTATAAATATTTTAAACATGAACATAAATGCAATGTATATTCAAAAAAAGCAAAACAAACCCCTAAATATTTTTTTCAAAGGAATGTTTGTGTAAAGTTATAGAAAAAATTAATTTCAAAATTGTGTTAAATGTCAAATTTCACTGTTTTGAGAATTTCTTATCAATTATCATCTATTTACAATCTATCAGTACTAAAATTACATTGTATTACCATGATTACAGTGTATAATATATATAAGCATCTGTTAATATTAAATGTTCAGTCAGTAACTATATCGTATTTGAAACGCGATTGATTTGTATTGTGTAATTTACAGAAAAGACCCATCTTCGAATGAAGCAAAAAATAAATAGAGGTATATATTTTAATTTTGGTCAATGTGAATGTTACGGGATGGAATCCTGTTTATGTAATAATTGAAAATTTAGCTCTCAATCATTCAATTATTTTATTTAAACAGTACTAATAAAATGAATATAAATCTATACTATCACATGAACTAAAAAAAAAAAAAACGCCATAGAGGGCTCTAAACTGAGAGGTACGAAAGCCCAATGAGCTCATTTTCGTAGGTAAAAAAATATTCTTTTCGCGTTATAACGCAAAACTTTCGCGAATAAACGCGTAACTTTCGCGTTATAACGCGAAACTTTTACGCGAAAGTTTCGCGTTTATTCGCGAAAGTTTCGCGTTATATCACGAAAGTTACACGTTTATTCGTGAGTTTTTTTTCGCATTATAACGCGAAACTTCCGCGAATAAACGCGTAACTTTCGCGTTATAACGCGAAATTTTTACGCGAAAGTTACACGTTTATTCGTGAAAGTTTCGCGTTATAACGCGAAAAATTTATTTTTTTTACCTACGAAAATAAGCATATTGGGCTTTCGTAAGTTTGGAACATGCCTAAGTTATGCATAATTAAATATATGCATTACTTGTTTTGGCTTTGCAATACGCATAGGCGTCGGAACCGGGGCTGGGGGGAGGGGGCTAAAGGGGGCTTAGGCTTAGCTCCCCCACTTTTTTTTTTGCAAAGATAGACATAATATAGGCATTGAACATTGGGGCGTAGCTTTAGCCCCCCCCCCCAACTTTCAACAGGCACGCGGCAGTTTCGGTCAAAAAGTTTAAGTAATAGTGTTTGGAAAACAAGTTAGTACTGAAAAAAGTTTGATCCTACAGCCCCATCCTCTGCACGAAGTAGGATATTTTTGTATTTGGATAATAGACACATTTTTTGGCTTGTTAATTTTTTTGTACTTATTTTTTTTTCTCTCTTTCACTTAGACCCCCCCCCCCCCCCCCAACTTTCAATTTGCTTCTAACGCCAAAGGTACTGAGGATCTGTCCAGTCAGACTAGCTGTTAATTTCGCCGTGAAAACAAGAAGAAAAATATGATTGACTTGAATGAGGCCACCTACGGTGGCCGTAAAGTGGTCACCATGCAGCCAGTGTATGGGTGGTCAACATGTATATATGTGTCATGTCTGATGATTATAAAAGTTAACTGATTCTCAGCAACTATAATCAACATCGGAGGCAGTTTGTCTTACCGCGTTAATAGAGGACAGCTGTTCCCCCCCCCCTTTCCGATAAAGAAACTATTATATATTCATTTAAACTTTTGAAATCATTTGAAACTTCACCGACTGGATGTTTTCATGCATGTAATAATTTAGCTGAAGGCATTCTAGCGTAGAAATTGCATTAAAATTTCCTTACTTTTTTTCCTCTCATAATTCTTTTGGTATCGATGACTTAAGACGAGATACGAAGAAACTACGGTGGGAAAATGTCTGTTAGTATAGAAAGTATTTCTAATTACTGGAGGCTATATCTTCACTATTATCGGAGCAGATAACGATGCACTTGGAAATTGGATAATGAAGGTTCCTATGTGCCTCTTCTCTATGTCCAACGAAGGTAATCAAATGTTTAGATCTCTCCCAGACTAGCCGTGGTGCGGGTACAGAATCTATGTAATGATGGAATAAACTGTAAGCATACCTATACTCAATGCACATTAGATTTTATTCTAATTCATATTTCTTCCTTTTGAAATTTGAAAGTCTTTGGAGTTGTTTTATATTGTATATAATATCATATTAACAATTTTTATTTTGTGTTCAGAAGATGTTTTTAATAAAGTAATATGATTCTTTATTTTTTTTTTTTAATTCACATTTTCACAATCATTTTAGGCATATGTATATGAAAATTTATCGAAAATTTCAATTTTTTCTCAGTGACCTGTTCGTGGAATTACACATTTGTTTTCAGCTGATAGCTTTAACTATGGTGTCGGATACCTGCTGTATCCTCGGAGTTTTAGTGATAGCGGTGGAAACATCCCGTACTTTTCAATTCTCAGCTTCTTCCTCTCTAGGTATGTTTCATTACCTAATTCTTTAATTATCAGATCATGTTTATATGCATTTATAGACGTCACGCATAGTATTGGGGTTGTTAGATTGATAACTGGTAAAACTAAAAGAAGGAGTTAGTAGTCTTTAGTATTTTTTTTTTTTTCATTTTGAGTTCCATGGATTTTTTTCTGCCATTGGCACAAATTAAAGCTTCCATAACGTCCTGTGAGGATGTCATACAAAATTACTAAATAAATTTTCAATTCTGTCTGATTCAGACTTTTTGCACATTATATTTTACGGGACATGTATGATGTATGACGTGTATCGTACATGTAGATGTGAGCTCTAAATTGTTTTAAATGAAAGACTTCATTTTATTTTGAAAGAAACATAAAAAAGTTCAATCTTTTTAATAAATTATTTTACAGAATTTTTCAGAAATTGTGTCTTTATAGTCTTATTTGTAACGCATTCAATTTTAACGTACACTTGCGATTTCAAGTGATGCAAACCTGTCTCTAGCATTAGTATGACGAGGTCAATAGCGTCTTTTAAAATAAGATAAAAGAGAGTGAAAAAAATTATTTAAAAAAAATTATACTAAAAAGTCAACATTCTGCATGTGATGATACTTTTACTTATATTGAAAAAACATTCTATATTCATGTATATTGAAACATGATGCTAATAAAGATGATGAAAAGGCTACCGATAAATTACATATCATTAGATGCGAACCATAATTAAACACAACTGAGCAATAAATCGTAAATCTTCATTTTGTTTTAATTATTTGCAGTACTTTGGCATTCCTAGAAAGACCAATTGCTCAGATGTTATAGAGAGAAAAACACACACTTTTAAAATGTTATAACGCCTTTGTTACAGAAAAGGAAATAATGTTAAAAAAGACATTATCAATTTTTCTCATTTAAATAATGAAAATAAGTTATTACGCCTTTCCATTGTGAAAAGGCGTTATTACGCCTTTTTAAAAGGCGTTATAACGCCATATAAAATACTGATGCATATAATGTGGTATTTCTCTTTATAATAATAATAGGTGCATTATTACGTACTAAATTTAAAAAAAGGCGTTATTACGCCTTTGAATTGATCCAAAAGTGTGTTATTACGCCTATTAAGAAATTAAAAAAATTTATTACGCCACTTAATAAATATTACGTTATAACGCAAACAAAACATGGCGTTATTACGCCTTTCTTTTGCAATTTAGGGGAATATTACGCCTTGTATGTGTGTGGACAATATATACGTTATGTATGTATGTTTTACTTTCAATATATATATATATATATATATATTATTTTTCAACTGTGTATGTATATCTCTGGCTTTTTTGCATTATGGTACACGGTGGTACCTTTATATATTTTTGATTACAATATGTATTTCACAATTAGATGTAGCAATTATTTCAACTTAAAAAAATAATTTATATACATGTATAGAACACATTACATCTTATTAATAAATTATATTTTTTAATAATCATGTATATATTGCCCAAAGTTGAACCAATCTAAGTCTATAACAACTTTTATTTTGTGTTCAGAAGATGTTTTTAATTAATAAAGTAATACGATTCTTTGCATTTTTTTTAAATTCACATTTTTACAATCATTTTATGCATATGTGCATGAAAATTTATCGAAAATTTCATTTTTTTTTTCTCAGTGACCTGGAATTACACCTTTTTTTTTTTTAGCTGATAGCTTTAACTATGGTGTTGGGTAGCTGCTGTATCCTCGGAGTTTTACTGATGGCGGTGGAAACATCCCATACTTTTCAATTCTCAGCTTCTACCTCTCTAGGTACATCTCTTATTACCTTATTCTTTATCAGATCATGTTTATATGCATATACGTCACGCATAGTATTGGGGTTGTTATATTGATAACCGGTAATACTAAAAGAAGGAGTTAGTAGTCTTTAGTATTTTTTTTTTTTTCATTTTGAGGATTTTTTTCTGCCATTAAAAGCACGGTCCTGTTAAATGCAAAATTAATAAAGTTTCAAAAAGCATAATAACTTTTTTGCACAATATATTTTAAGGACATGTAATAATGACTTTTGGAAGAGGCGTTAAATTGTTTTAAATGAAAGGCTTCATTTTATTTTGAAAGAAACATAAAAAAGTTCAACCTTTTTAAGAAAACAGAACAGTAATTGTGTCTGGTCTTATTTGTTACGCATTCAATTTTAACGTACACTTGCGATTTCAAGAGTGATGCAAACCTGTCTCTAGCGTTAGTATGACGAGGTCAATAGCGTCTTTTAAAATAAGATAAAAGAGAGTGAAAAAAAATTATTAAAAAAAAAAATCATCGTAAAAAAGTCAACATTCTGCATGTGATGATACTTTTACTTATATTGAACGCCTTTTATTCATGTATATTACATGATGCTAATAAAGATGATGAAAAGGCGTTATAAATTGGATATTTAATTTTTTTTCACAACTGTAGCAATAATCCTAATAGGCTTTTGTATTAATTATTTGCAGTATGGAAGAGATAGATATGTAATAAATATCATAATGCCATGACATAACGTAGAAGTTTTAAACGTTTAGCGTTGCATGACGCTATTTTGACGTTAAAAAATCAACCCCAATTCATGATTAATTATCTAAGCTTCCTATTAATCAAGAAATTCATAACATTCTTTACAAATGGTATCAGTACATATTACATAGTTCAAATAAAGTGTAATACACATGTAAAACAAGAGGCCCAGTTGCCACATCGCTCAACTGAGCAACTGGCTATGTAAAACCAAGAAGCAAAAATCAGGTAAGTATTGAAAAATGGCTTTGCTGTTTATGAGATGAAAATTTTTATTGATATAGCCTTTATATTCCTTTGTATAACTATGATCCAATTTTATGGCTCTTCTATTCTCCTGGTTGGTCATAATTTGAACAATTTGAATCTACACTGCTTGGGGATGCTTCCATATAAATATGAACATTCAAAGCTTTGCTGTTCTTGAGAAGATTTTTTAAAGATTTTTCCCTTTGTATTCCTATGTTAAACTTTGATACCCAATTCTAGCCCCACCCTACCCCTGGGGGTCAGGAAAGATGAAACTCATGTGGAAGCATCCTCAGGTAGTGTAGATTCAAGTTTTTTTTTTTTCAAATCATGACTCCCAGGGGAAGGGTGGGGCCGTAATGGGTGTCAAAGTTTAACATAGGAATACATGGGAATATCTTTAAAAATCTTCTCAAGAACAGCAAAGCCATGATTGGTCATAGCTATATGGAAGCATCCTCTGGTAGTGTAGATTCAAGTTTGTTCAAATCATGACCCCCGGGGGTAGGATTGGGCCATAATGGGGGATCAAAGTTTAACATAGGAATATATACATAAGGAAAATCTTTAAAATTCTTCTTATCAAGAACCATTGGGCTAGGAAAGATGAAACTCATGTGGAAGCATCTTCTTGTAGTGTAGATTCAAGTTTGTTCAAATCATGACCCCAGGGGTAGGATGGGGTGGGGCCATGATACGGAGTTAAAGTTAAACATAGGAATATATATGGAAAATCTTCAAAAATCTTCTTCTAAAGAACCACTGGGCCATGGAAAATGAAACTCATGTGGAAGCAACTTCTGGTAGTGTGGATTCAAGTTTGTTCAAATCATGACCCCCAGGGGTAGCTTGGGCCACAATGGGAGGTCAAAGGGACCACTCATGCATTTAAGCTTTTTAATACCGGGTACTAAACTGATTTTTGCTTTTTTCCTAGCCACAGTACTCAGGTGAGTGAGTGATGTGGCCCCTGGGCCTCTTGTAGGTAGGCCTATTCAGACACAGCTAGATTACGTTTTTAAAGCATTCAAGTACTCAATCTGAAGTTGAAGTAAATGAATCTGCGATATAATCAGTTTCCATTTCCAGTTTTTTTAGAGGCTATATCTCCCTAAGTGTATAGGAATTCCAGCACATCTGTTCGTTTCATATTAATGTTTAATTTTCTGTGGACGTCAATGGACAACTAACAACTAAACTATAAACGGGATAACAAGCTTTTTCACTGTCAACTTCCACTTCTTATTTTACTGGACATTCAACAATCTTTTTAAAAGAGAGCGTCAGCAAATTCTATGGTCCTAATATTACCCTTGTTAGTAAATGCCAAGCATCGTAGGTTTGTATTTTGATAATTTTCCGCCGATAATTTTTAGACCGTTGTCCTCATAACGGTAAATAATTAAACAATAAATTTTCTTTGGTTGTTTTTATGGGGAAAACTACATTAATTTCGATACAAACGTACAAAGAAGTTTATGTTTATACACTGTATCTATATAACAAGATGTGTTTGTGAAACACTATGCGCCCGGCGGCAACAAAGTTAAAAAAAATATTTTTAGCATATAGGTCACAGTCAAGGTCACAAGGTCATTTACCTTAGTGTTATTTGAAAGAGCTTAACTAGTTGAGTATGCATACCAAATATGAAGTCTCTTATCTTTTACTGTTCAAAAGTAATGGCGAAAGTTCGAAAAAGCTATTTTTAGCATATAGGTCACAGTCAAGGTCACAAGGTCATTGACTTTGATGTCATTTGAAAGAACTTGATGAGGGAGATATGCATACAAAATATGAAGTATCTATCTCTCGTGGTTTGAAAGTTATGGCGAAGATCAAAGTTGAGCTAGACAGACAGATAAGCAGACAAACAAACAGGACAAAAACAATATACCTACGCCTCGGATCTATCGACTCGGGCGCATAAAAAATGTAAAGTTATGATTAAGTTTAATATAGTTTTATTGATATGTAATACTATGTCATTGCATCATTGTCGGATGGAAAGAATCTTGATTGGTGGCTTCCTTAGCGGGTTCACAGAGTGAAAAACGGCCATTTAAGGACTCGAAGCTCTAGAGGATGCTTACTTCATCCGCAAAGGTTTACCTTATTAGTCCAACTATTTATCAAATCAATGGCGTATGGTAATATAAAGGAGAGAAGGGGCAATAAAGCGATGTAGTACTGTTATGTTGATGTCAGTATGCAACTATAAATACTCGTGGATTTGAAGTGCTGGAAGAAAAACGGCTGCTTTACAAAGTGTATATAAAATGTTATTTTATACATGAGATGTATGGAGATAATAGTTAAAAACTTAGTTTTACTAATATTTATTAATCTTTTTTGTAAATGCTGAGGAGAGATTCTGTGGTATATACATAGGTAAAGAGCGTACTTCTAATGAAACATATAGAGATAACGAACAGTATTAAAGATCAAAAGTCCATAAAATAATATAAAATAGGAGCAGAGCAAACACCGATCTCCAAAAAATCAGAGGTGGGATCAGGTGCCATGAATCAAGAGAAATCTACCTGAGTGACCTCGTCATACTAACTTAAGAAATTGTGTATTTGCAGTTGACTGTGATTTTGAGCAAAACATGTGTGGCTGGACAGCAAGCAGAAATTTTTCCTCCCCGGTAGGCAGTAACAAGTATTGGAACCTTTGCCCACACCTCCCCACCTCTACAGACATCCAAGACACGTGTAATGTAAGCCTGGGATTCAAGCATGCCGATCCATTTTCACGACATGGTTTGCACGAAAAATGGCAACATGGCAATGTCAAAGGTATAATCTGTATTCAAATGGCGAATCACACTTAGCCCCTATGTTTTTTTTATACCCCACGCAACAAGTCAGTCAGTCCGTCAGTCAGAGTGTCAGTCAGTCAGTCAGTCCTGTTTGTCAGCGCAACTACTCATAAACCGCTGCACACAATTTCGTCAAACTTGGCAAATATTTAGGACACAATGTATAGATGTGCATATTACCAGGAGATTCCGATTCCTTTATTTTTTCTGGGAATTTCTGCACTTTTCCACTTAGATTTTTGGCGATATCTTGAATATAGAGATGAACAGTTTGTCAGTGCAACTCCTCATAAATCGCTACACACAATTTCGTCAAATTTGGCAAATATTTAGGACACATTGTGTAGATATACATATTACTAGGAAATTCCGATTCCTTTATTTGGGGGGGGGATTTCCGCACTTTTCTTCTTAGATTTTTGGCTATATCTTGAATATATAGATGAACAGTTTGTCAGCACAACTCTTCATAAACCGCTGCACACAATTTCGTCAAACTTTGCAAATATTTAGGACACAATGTGTAGAAGTGCATATTACCAGGAGATTCCGATTCCTTTATTTTGTCCGGGAATTTCAGCACTTCGACTTTTGAAGGTGCGTGGGGTATGTGAGCTTGCTCACTTTTTAGGTCACCTGAGTAACTCAGGTGACCTATTGCTATCTGTTTTCGTCCGTCGTCGTCCGTCGTTCGTCGTCCGTCGTGTGTTAACATTTGAACATTTTCAGCTTCTTCTCTGAAACCACTGAACCAATTTCAACCAAATTTGGTATACAGCATCTATGGGTAAAGGGAAACATAAATTATAACTGTCATGGTCCCTGCCCCCCTGGGGCCTGGGGGTGGGGCCAAAACCACTAAAATTATTGCAATCTTTAAAAATCTTCTCCTTTACTCCTGGACATCAAGCAGGCAAACTGTTGGCATGAATGTATTGAGCATTGAGTCCTCTACCAAAATTATGAAATTCATGGCCCCAGGATCGGGGTTCTAGTGCTAGGGCGGGGCTATGTAGATTATATAGTGAAAATGCATTATTTCTTTAAAAATCTTCTTCTCTGCTCCTGGGTATCAAATAAACTAACTTAGTACATAGTTATGATGAGCAAGAGTGCGTCTTCCAAAACTGTGAATTTTATGGCCCCAGGTCAGGGGTTCTGGTGTTTGGGCGGGGCTCTATTGATTATATAGTGAAAATGCATTTATTCTTTGAAAATCTTCTTCTCCGCTTCTGGGTATTAAATGAACTAACTAAGTACATAGTTATGATGAGCAAGAGTGCCTCTTCCAAAATTGTGAATTTTATGGCCCAAGGGTCAGGGGTTCTAGTGCAGGGCGGGGCTATATAGATTATATAGTGAAAATGCATTATTTCTTTGAAAATCTTCTTCTCTGCTCCTGGGTATTAAATTAACTAACTAAGTACATAGTTATGATGAGCAAGAGTGCCTCTTCCAAAATTGTGAATTGTATGGCCCCAGTGCCAGGGGTTCTGGTGTTAGGGCGGGGCTCTATTGAATATATAGTGAAAATGCATTCATTCTTTGAAAATCTTCTTCTCTGCTTCTTGGTATTAAATGAACTAACTAAGTACATAGTTATGATGAGCAAGAATGCCTCTTCCAATATTGTAATTTTATGACCCCAGGGTCAGGGGTTCTGGTGGGACTCTATTGATTATATGGTGAAAATGCATTTATTCTTTGAAAATCTTCTTCTCCGCTTCTGGGTATTAAATTAACTAATTCAGCACATAGTTATGATGAGCAAGAGTGCCTCTTCCAAAATTGTGAATTTTATGGCCCCAGGATCAGGGGTTCTAGTGCTAGGGAGAGGCTATATACTGTAAATCATTCACGAAATTTTTATTTACGAAAACTTTATTTTCGCGTAATTACGCGAGACAATGAGCTCGCGAAAATTTCATTCTCGCGTTTAAAAGTATTCCTTACGATTACATACAGGAAAAACAACAATTCGTGAAAATTATATCTCGCTTATAAAGAGTCAATGACTATCTCACTAAAATAAGGTATCGCGAAAATTTAGTGATCTACAGTAGATTTAGTGAAAATACATTAATTCTTTGAAAATCTTTTCCTTTGCTCCTGGGTTTTATGCCAATGATCCAAGTATATATATTTATGATGAAGAAAGGTGCATCTAGCAAAATAGTTATTTTTTTAATGCCCCCCATCCCTGGGTCGGGGTGGTGGGGCGGGGTGGGGGGGTTACATAGTCTGAAAATAAATTAATGCTTTGAAATCTGCTCTTTGGTAACAATCAACCATTTTATGATAAAATTTGCAAAATTTTGAAATATATGGCCCCTGGATCCGTGGTTCCTTTGGGGTGAGGTGCCAAACTGGTTATAAAGTGGAAGTGCATTTTCTCTTTGTTACTCTGATCAACCTCTGGGAATTAATTAATAGAGTAAGCATGCTAAGTTTATAATTATGATAAGCAATGGTGCCTCTTTCAAAATTATGAATTGTAAATTTTATGGCCTCTTATTTAAAACACGAACCAAAGTTATTTGTTTGAAAGTTGTTACACGATACTCAGGTGACCTATAAGGCCCGTGGGCCTTTTGTTCTTTTATTCTATGTAAAATTCATGAGTGTTTTTCTTTCACTCAGGGAATTCAGACTTTAATAGCTCACCTGAGACAAAGGTTCGAGTGAGCATTTCTGAACAAAATTTGTAGATAGTCTGTCCTTGGCCTCAAGAACTTTTCACAATTTCTTCTTATTGTCTAAAGCTACTGGAATTTTATTTCAAACACACCTGCCAAAAAGATCCTTAGGTAAATGGGATTAATTTGTCAGGGAAGATCGTTAAGAATGAGTATAAATTGAATTTTCACACTGAATTGTCTACGTATTTTTCTGTATGTTCCGATCGTAGCATGGGTGCACAGCAGGTGTGGTCGGTCCACAAGGGATATTTACTCCTTCATGTCACCTGAACACATATCTGGCAAATTTTGCATAACAAAGGATCAAAGTTATACATAATATACAGTAAAACTTGCTTATAGCAAATTCGCTTAAAAGCTATATTGTATCTTATTCACGTTGACTTTGAGTATGTAAGAATAATAATACCCAAAGTCATTGTAAGAATATTATAATACAGAAGTATCCAAAGTAGTGTAAATTAGGTAACTATGTTTAACTTAAATCATGACGTCTGGATTTCCCTTTTCCTTTTTGTGCTGTTCATGGCGGAGTCTGTTAGGCTTTCTAAGTTTTGCCTGAGAACATATATGAAATATTTAGAATATCTTCTCAAGAACAGATAAAGCAATGAATAGTCGTATTAATATGAAGCATGCTAGTAAAGTCGTCAGCCCGAGGGGGTAGGTTTGGACTACTCATATAACACTTTTCAATACTTTACTGAATTCTTATTTCTTTAATCAAAGTGCCTGTGAAGCATTATCCATGGGCCTCTTGTTATGGTTTTTCTTAGGTCTTTCTGGACTACATGGGTTTGTTATGACATCTAGTAACCGGAACGTTGGGCGCCCTGAAAGTGATAAATATAGGACCTTCTATACTTCCTACATACTGAGCGAGGAGCTGCCAGCCTTCTTCCTTTACCGATGCCTTCGTTATTCCTACGCCATAAAGGGCCATTCTTTCCTCATTGTATCCTATCTAGAAAAACTCACTCAGAGTAGGAATGACAAATTCTTGATGGAACACGGTGATCGTTGGTCGACAGACCGCTCAGAGGAATGGACAAGTGGTACACAATCTGTGAATCTTCCACTCATTCCAAATTTCAGGGTAAGTGTAACAAACTTTTTTCTTTTATAAAGAAAGGCTGTTTAATTCATGTTATATGTAAAATGCAGAGGTATTTAAATACTAAGTATCTGAAAAAACTATACTTATCATTGCCTGGGTATTAACTCATTTGTCTTCTTACACACCCATCGGATTCGAGTTCCTTTATCTTGAAAAATATTTCTGTCCACCATTTTAAAATTTATTTTTAGTAAGGCCAGCATTTTTTTATTTTTAGGTTTACAAACCCGCCGCTCAAGTTTTTGAATTTTCAGAAAAAAAATAAAATTGAGAAAAACAGATTTTTTTCTTTCCGATGTCAAATTTGAGTCCGAGATTTCAAATTTACAACTCGTACTTCCGGTTTTAAATGAACATGGCGGGTAATGAAGGGAGATTTGTGTCAAGTCCATAGCAGCACTAAAGCTTGGTTTAATGTAAATATTTATCGAAAGAGTAAAACGTTTCATTCAGAGAACAATAAAATGCTGACGACTTTGTTGCAAAGTGACATGGTGGTGAGATAATTATGTATCCGTATTCAAAAGTAACTGTCTGTAATTGTAAATTATTTTCCTCCCAGAGGTTTAAAACTGCCCATGGTAGCTATTGTCAGAGACATTGTTTAGGTTTCTGTCATAGCTTACAGTCTTAGCATCATTCTTCAGAAAAGGGTGGCTTTTGCATCAGATGTAATGAATAAAACTATGGGAGAAGTTAAGTCCATTTGATGAAGAAATAAACAATAGCCTAAAGAAATAAAATATTTCAACTATTTAAAAACAATAATATACAAATATATACAGGCATGTAGTATCGTTTATGGCAGCCAGAAAAATTATTTTACACTTAATTAAAAAAAATTCCACCCTACTCCTCAATACTCCTTGGGAATACTCCCTGTCTGTTTTATGAAAGGAATTATTACTTTTATAGGTCTCGAATATATTAATATTTTAGAATAATTTCTACCTAACACACATTAAAAACAAAAATGAAGATATATTAAAAGAGATTTTAAAAAATTGATTTTTTTAAAAAAAATCTGTATTTTGTCCAACATCAAAAGATTTATATCACTGCCCCCAACTGGTAGATGATGAAATAAACAATTAAAGGTTGTATTTTCCCCTTTGTAACCCTTATGTGTCCAGTGGCAAGAAGCCTGTTAGGAGAGCATAAAAAAAGAAGCAAAAATTAATGTAGAAAAGTCGATAATGTATCCAAAATATAATTTTTTTTTTTTTTTATTTCCTCCTCCTACGGGACTTTTTCATTCTGATGTTCGTAAACCTAAAAATAAAAAAATGCTGGCCTAATGAATAAAATATTACAAGATACTGTTGACTGTAATTTTGACTTTAATTTAGATTATGTTCAGAGCTTGGTTCAGATTTAAAGGAGACAATGTAATACATATAGACAACATCAGTATCACAGAAGGAATATGCAATGGTGAGCTCATTTTGCTGCAGATTGTGGTTTCAGGGTCGAAGAGTCATTTAATCGTTAAAGTTTACTATAGAGGCAAACAGTATTACGGTATTTCGGTTCGTACTTGAAACGTTAATGATTGTTATCAAAGAAATTGATTACATTTCATTATACATATACATGTATTACCAAGGCAAAAAGTTTATCGCAGAATTTAACCTGTCCTTTTTTTTTTCTCAGATAGTTGTCCCCTCGATATGTTCCGCTGCTCCAGTGGAGAGTGTATCTCACCAAGTCTTGTGTGTAATTCTCTGAAGGACTGCAGAGATTTGTCAGATGAAGAATCATGTAAGACTTCTTTTTTTCTAAATTTATGCGCCAAGTATACTAATTATATGATAGCTTTTGTGCTTTTTAATGCAATTCCATTAAATGAAGTCTAAAAAATGCTTGTATCCTGTAGATTGTTGCAAGAGTCTTTAATGAATAATGCATTTGTCGATTTTTTCATATCTTCGTTTACATTCTCAGAAATGTTAAAACTAAAATAAAAAAATGGACATAAATTACAACCGAGGTCTTTTTGGATCCAAAAAGTGTTAATTTATATATAGAGGCCTCTCCATTGCATCATGATCATGAATAATGAGCACGTCTCTTGTAGACAAAATGATAACGAGGCACCTCTTAATTGATTGATTGATTGATTGATTGATTGTATGTTATCTATTAATTTAAAGAATAGATGCACTTATTTTATGAGGAAAACTTTGTTGCTGCTATTTGAGTTGGGTTAGCTAGAATATAAATTAGATCGGGATCGGGATATCTCAACAGTTTTATGTATGACGTTATCAGGACCTCTTTGGAGGCCCTGGATATCCTAAAGATAAAAGGTTTTACACGAATTTTGTAGCAGACAGAATTTTTAAAAAAAATGAAAAAATTTTAATTTCACGATTGTTTTATATAGTTTCATAAAATGTTATCGACAAATATCTGATTTGATGATTTTTTTCTTTAGATGCATGGATAAAAACAAAAAAGATGCAGTTTTTCTTTTTCGGAAAAAGGTGAGATTTTTAAAAAATTGGTTTTATATAGAAATTTTACATGTCGGCATACAAAAAGGTGAGATTGGCCATGTCGGCATACATGTGGCGTTATTTGTTTTAAAACTTGTTTACGTTTTAGTTTTACAAGCAAAAATATACTAGATTGAGAAATACATAAGTAATTGTTTTTTGTTTGTTTTTTTTATTTATTTATTTATAAATCTTGCATTAATTGAAAGAAAAGAAAGGGGGTGGCTTAATAGCAGTTAAACTGATTAAAAAACATTAAAATCGGGTGTCTATCAATTTTCGCAGCCTTTATTTAATTGAACATTCGCTGAGATAGAGACTTCACCATATAGATAGTTTTCATTAGACCCAAATTAACAAGTTATTTCCCTTCGGCCGCCATATTGTGGGTCAACATGCTCATATTCCTTCACTATTCAACCAACTTTAACTTCTTATACTGGCTATTGTGGGCTGGGAAGCATTGTTTTTCTGACAAATATACATTTGTTAGAGCCTCCTTTATTTCATAATGTTTATTCCATAACGATTTTTCTCCAAATATTTCTGATATACCCTCTTATATTTGGTAGAACAAAAAGGGAAAATTACCTGCTTGACCCCCAAAATGGCGGCCAACGGGAAATGACTCTTGTTAATATGGGTCTACTGAAAACTATCTATACCGGTTAAGGGCTTCAAAGTTGGACTTTTGATTTTTACTCAGCACTTATATACGGACTTTGACCATTGAGGGATCTTTACAGTGCCACAACGCCTACCGTGACATGGGGGGTCAGTCTCATCCGAAAGACCCGCGACTTTCACTTCAACGTACCGAGCGCATGGTGAAGGAATAAATGTTATCTTTTGATATCGACTTAAGTCAGTCACGGCCGAGATTTGAACTCACGACATACAGAACACTTATCGAACACTCTACAGACTACCGATGCTACGGTCATTACAAAATGTTCATCTTATTTAAAGAATATGATAATTTTGAAATGGTTTTCTTTTTTGTTGTTTTTTTTAGGTGTATCAGGAGCAGTAAACAGTCAGATAAAGGATCATTCTTTAGAACCAGCGACCGCAGATGTCTTTTTAATTTGCCCTTTTTGTCCCGAAAAGAGCACTATATGTATTCCTTTCTGTCCAGCATCTTGTACATGTACTGGAGTTACCCGCCTGTGTAAAAGATCTACAAAAGAGTACATGTACTTTGTCCACTTATCAAAAGTGACTTGTGATACAATCGATATTTCAAAAATAGGACGAGGGATTTATCATTTTGACATTTCTTTATCCCAAATACGCTCTCTCAACATCACAGATAATGTCAAAATAGAAAAACTTACAGTCTCCGATTCTACCATTGATTCCTTAAACATAGCCTACCAAACGGTAAATTTCATACAATTCACTAATTTGAAAGCAAATTCAATTTCATTCTTCACGAATTCTTTGTACTTATATGTGATGGGAAACCTCCAATTGTTTAATGCCACGGTTTTTCTCTACCTACCGTACGTAAACTTTGAACGGAACATGCTCTCCAGTGCAACAGTTAAATATCAACCACCATCTTATGCAACAAAAAACTCCCATAGCATACTGATCCTTAGGAACTGTAACATATTCAAGCCACTCTCCGTCCTTGATGTTAAAAGTAACCATGTAGATCTAAGCTACAACGAACTTAAGTCTTACTCGGTGAATGATCGAACACACACATTACTGATAAGCAACAACCAACTGGTGAGGATAGTAAGACCGGTTTTTGTGACACGTGTAATGTCTTTAAAAACAATTGACATGTCCTTCAACAAAATAACATATCTACAGCAGGATGACTTCACTTATCTTTTCAATCTTCTGTACCTTGACCTGAAGTCCAACAACATATCGTGGATGCATGAGGAAACGTTTGCAGATCTCGTCAAACTGCGTTTTCTAGATCTATCAAACAATGTCCTACGTACAATAAAACAAACCTTCTTCCAAAATTTGGAAAAACTTCAGTACCTTTACTTACAGAAAAACCTTATTAGTACCATAGAACTGGAGTCGTTTTACGCTCTACAGAGTCTTGTGTTGTTAGATTTATCAAGCAATAAGATAACATATTTAAAAGGAAGATATTTCCGAGATCTTGAAGAGCTGAGATACCTGTATCTCCAGGACAATGATTTTCAGGTATCAGAAGGGATGTTTGACGGTTTGTCAAGCCTCAGATTGATGCAGGTAGATTTTTTCTCCCTTTGTTGTGCCAAGCCAAGAAATGTATACGACATTATGTGCATAGCTCCTGAAAATATGATTTCATCTTGCAATAATTTAATAGCTGTGCCCATTCTGAATGTTGGCATATGGTACATTGCATTGTTTGCAGCTTTTGGGAATTTTGTGGTGTTTTGGTATAAGATGGTCTACCTTAAAAGACAGTCTGCCCAGGCTCATTTTATTTTGACTACGAACTTAAACTGGGCTGACTTTTTAATGGGTGTGTACCTTTTTATTTTAGCAATAGCAAACCTTGTGTATAATGGGCGTTATGGACTAGAAGACTATTCTTGGAGACACAGTTATGTTTGTACCATCGCGGGAATTCTTGCTACAATGTCTAGTGAAACATCAACATTTCTCGTCTTTTTAATAACATTGGATAGGTTCATCGCCATAAAATTTCCATTCTCGGGAAAAGGCCTTACAAGAAATAGAGCCATCATCCTGTGTATAGGTTCGTGGCTTATTTCCTTATTTTTAAGCATATTACCAATTATCCCTATGCAGTCTAAATTTTTCGAAGGATACTATGCACGATCAGGAATCTGTATATCGTTGCCTCTATCCGTTGTCAAAAACTCGGGATGGCAGTATTCCATGGCGGTTTTCATTGGATTGAACTTCCTTCTCTTCCTGGGTATTTTTATCGGACAAATTGCAATCTTTTATGAGGTGATTACAGTCGGAAGAAGTGTAACCTGTTCTAGATCGAGGCAAAGGGAGTTAAGTCTGACAAAGAGCTTGGCTGCGATAGTACTCACCGACATATGTTGCTGGATCCCTGTCGGAACGATAGGTTTGTAACCTTTTATACATAATGAAGTGTTTCAGGTTTATTGCAATATAAACACTACGACTTGAGTACAATTCCAATGATTACATCATTATAAATTTATAAAGGTTTTGATGCCGTTGTTGAAACTATTGATTTGAGGCTTATTCTTACTCAACATCAGCAAAAGTAATTCAATAATGTTTGTTTACAATTGTTATCTCATCAATAAAAAGGGCTAAAACTCTTTGAACGGTCAGGTTTAAACCTGGATTTGATTTTTGCAATAAGTTATCGTTTAATAAACATTTTGGGATGACATATATGTGCATCGTTTTAGGATTGAAATTTGAATTATTTGGGGACGTCACGCTTGTGAATTTATCATTTTAGAATTGAGAATGTGAACTTGGTTGACATCTGTGTCTGGATCTATTTAGGATTAAGACAGTAAACATTTGGAGATGACATATGTGTGGCTAAATCATTTTAGGGTAAAAAAATCTAAACATTGGGAAATGGCATATCTGTGACTGATCATTTTAGGGATTTGCTTACAGGACTCTTGACCTTTGTGGGTTTCAGTGTGTCTAGAGAAGTCTATGATTGGATCATTTTATGGTTTTGATTACAGGACTCCTGACCTTTGGAGGTATCAGTGTGTCTAGAGAAGTCTATAACTGAATCATTTTAGAGTTTTTCCTTACAGGACTCTTGACCTTTGGAGGTATCAGTGTGTGTAGAGAAGTCTATGATTGGATCATTTTAGGGTTTTGCTTATAGGACTTCTGACTTTTGGAGGTATCAGTGTGTCTAGAGAAGTCTATGATTGGATCATTTTTGGGTTTTGCTTACAGGACTCCTGACCTTTGTGGGTTTCAGTGTGTCTAGAGAAGTCTATGATTGGATCATTTTAGGGTTTTGCTTACAGGACTCCTGACCTTTGGAGGTATCAGTGTGTCTGGAGAAGTCTATGATTGGATTGTTGTCATAGTCCTCCCTGTTAACTCCGCCCTCAATCCAATCATCTACAACCTGACAGCTTTTATGAAGCACAAGGTACTTTATTTTGTTTAAAATGATAAAAGAAGTTCAAGTTGAAAAATATATGGAATTTTGTTATTTAAATTAATGATTATAATCGTTTTTTGATAAGATTAAACATTTGAAAACATCCTTACAAACAAAGATACATAGCGGGTTCCAGTAAATGTTCAATCAAGCAAGACACCTGCTGAGGCCTTCAACTCGACATTTAGATACATCGATGACGTTTTGTCAATTAACAATGATAATTTCAATTTTCATGTCAATACGATATATATCCTGGTGAGCTTGAGGTAAAATATACTACAGAGTCTGATACATATATTCTTATTTGGATATTTTACTTGAAAAAGACGTTAATGGTAATTTAAGAACCAAGCTCTATGATAAACGTGATGACTTCACTTTTCCATTGTCAACTTCCCTTACTTATGCAGCAATATACCTTCATTACCTGCATATGGAGTTTATATATCTCAATTGATTCCATACGCAAGAGCATGCTCTATGTATTAACAATTTCTGAAAGAAGATGAATTATTGGCAAACAAGTGGATGAAACAAGAATATCAGCAGTCTCGTTTAAAGTAATTATTTCTTAAGTTCTATGGTCGATACAATGACCTTGTCAGCGAATACAATTTATCATCGAGTCATATGCGGACTAACGTTTTTCATACCAACTGTAAGTCCATTCTTTATACACTGAATTGACGACGGATTTTTCCGTTATTTCCCGATCATGACAATGAGCACACTGCGGGTGTAACCGGTCGGCAGGGGATGCTCACTCCTCCATGGCACCTGTTCCTACCTCTGATGTTTTGGAGGTCCGTGTTTGCTCTGCTCCTATTTTGTATTGTTTTATGGATTTTTGATCTTGAGTACTGTTTGTAATCACTATATGTTTAATTGAGAAATTTTAATATTATAGCGAGAAAAACTTGCTTCAAAATCAGATACCTTGAGACAGGAGTGTGTTGGACTGAGAAGAAAACTGGAAACTATACAGGTTTTCTCTCTCTCTCTCTCTCTCTCTCTCTCTCTCTCTCTCTCTCTCTCTCAAATTTTATTTTAAGTTTTAAGGGTTCAAAAGTTTTCAACTTGTTGAATGACTTTGTTTATATCTATGCAACTTATTTTCTAAAACTGCTAATTTTCATCCTTTTGATTCAGCGAAAATTAGAGTCTTATCAATCAAGGAACTTAATGGAAGACTGTGCCTTATTACAAAGAAAACTGGATTCAATGCAGGTTTTTCTCTCTCAAATTTCTCCCCAAAAATTCTGCCTGATTATTTTCCTACTCTGAAATTATTTTCATCCAGTATTAATATATAATTTGTTTTCAGACAATGCATTCAAAATGCTCCTGTAAAAGAACGGACATAGAGACTTTAGACAACAGCACAAATACAGAGACGTATAGAGTTGGAGTGACAATGGAAACAGATCCTCACTCAAATGGAATAGGTGTAACTTATATAAAGTTGGAAACAAAATTTTGATCTCTTCATATATGTCAAGATCTTCATGCAGTATCGATTAAACTGATTATTTACTTTATTATAACAATAAAGATGATGTGAAATACGGAACCCAGTGAATTGAGCAAAAAAAATTGCATGCACGTATTCACTTATATGTTTACCCTAATGGAATACTATTTTTACCAAAAATAGAAACGAAATTTGGAATATATAGATCTCTACTGTAGGTAGGGGTACGATCATCCAATTTCCATTGCCATTAGGCTCCGACCCACTCTTTGAAGCCCTTAAAATATACGAACGCAAGTAGGAACATCTTTCTCCTTTGGTTGGTCACTGTATTGTTTTGAAATCTACCTATATGTGAAAGGAGAAAAATGTACCTAACTGTGCTCACATATTGTTAAAAAAAATAGTAAAATCTCAATCTAGTTGGCCTTTTCAATTTTGAACAGATCGACGGAAACATTTTTCTGACGTTAGAATAACTTTATACGCTAATCGAGAAACTTTCCAACTGACCAATTAGCTGAATGAGTTGCACTATGAGTGAGTACCACAAAAATACTAAGAAGTTTTACGCTTGGAAAAAAGACTTTTTCACCTGCTTTCCGTTAACAATTTTTATGCATTTGAGTCACAGGTAAGACGGATTTACAATTTCCCATCTAACATAGTTACAATTGGCCATTGATTTATATACTCAACAAAAAAAGAAACGCATATTCAGATTAAACATGATAATCTAGTATGTTTTCAGTTTAATCCTTATTTTTTCAAAAGTGATTTTAGAGGGTTTTGATAAAATTTAAACATTTCATGTGTTGCGAGAGAAAAGTGAAGTTTATGTCATGGTCGACGCCTCCAAATTTTTGGGGCATACCGTCTAAAGTAATCCATATGTCCTTTGCGACGTCTAAGCGCTGGTGGATTTCCAATGTACGAATGTCGTGCACGAATACCAGCTCCTCAGTCTCTTGCGAACAATTTATGCACTTTTATGCTGATTTTTTCATCCAGCAATTGTAGCAGCAGTTTTTACAGCAAGTTCTGAATCGCGTGAAGTGCTGAAGGGGGGGGGGGGGGTGGGGTCACACGGTCCTGCTTGGGTGTGGTTACCTGCGGACGACTAATTCTTGGTTTTCCGACGATAGTTTAACGGCTGCAAGACCTATTGGTGTATTCCAAATGCAGTTGCACTTCCTGTTGCGTAGCTCCGTTTAGTATCATCGTTAGCTGCTTGTGTTCATCTTTGTTTCGGCGTTGCATTGCAGCATCAACACTGTTATCAAATCTTAAATATGGGTTTAATAGGAGTGTTAATAGTTTCTCTAAATCCAAAATATCAGCGAAAATAGACGTCCGATTCAGAAGAAATCATGAAAAACACTACTTTCATAAACATGTTTAATCAAGGGAGATAATTCAACACTTGGGTTTTAAAACCCCATGTTGTCCTTTAGATAGGTCACAGGTATCCAATGTTATAAAAGATAGTTGTTCAATGTACATTTGAAAAATTTCTTTGAAGAGTAAAGCAATATGCGTTTCTTTTTTTGTTGAGTATAGTTGGTGGGTAATTCGCTAGGTCTACACGTATTCCAGAGTATCAGTGAATACAAGTTTCATTTGCATTTCTTGACCTAAATCAGTAAACGCTGAGGTTCCATGCGTATTTTTATGTGTAAACAGCCTTGGCTGATCATTTAGAGTTTGAAATGTAGTACTAGAGATAATGTGTAAATTGACCTAAACCACGTGTCTGTGATAAAATGTATACATGTAGTAAACCAGCATGTTTTGTCATTCAGTCATCAGATTGGACAATAGTTCTCTGTAAGTGACTATGCGCAAAATAATAACAATAGCCAAATAAGGAAGATTCCTCGGACCTGTATATCCCTATATTGTACTAAAATCCGCATATTCTCTTAAAAGAACATATTGTCACAAACCAAGCCGAATTTGCTGTCAGAGGGTCTTAAAAACATAGATGATGCAGTTATTATTATAATTTAAATGTGTTGAAACTTTTCAAACTACTCAAAAGGAGTCGTATTCATTCACTCATGTTGGAAAACTATTAAAATCGTTGTTGATTAAATATAATTCATCGTAGAGAAAGGGTCCCCAGATATCAGTTATATCAGATCATCCGTTCATGATTATTTAACATTAACTAGATTTTGATGTTGTTGTTTTTTTTGGGGGGGGGGGGGTTGTTGTTGTTGTTTTTCTTTTGAAAAAGCATTTTTTATTCATATTTATGGTCTTATAATTGTAACAAATTATTGAATTTTTTATTCAGCTTATCATAATAACGATGTCTTAAATGTCAAACTGTAACTGAAACTAAGCTGAGTTTAATGAAGGAGTACATTTAAAGCATCGTTCATTTAATATTCACAGGTCTTTAATTTTTGCTTGATTAGAGTCCTTCAAGAATTATTGAGTTGGGAATATTTATGTATATGGTCATAAGGAAATTCAATTTTAAGGACAGATGATACAAACAAACTTTTGTCAAATAATTTGAAAATAACAACTTGGGTCATGTTTAAATGAATAAAATAAATATTTTTCACCGTGTAGTTTTTAATTTTTTATTTAAATTTGCACAAAAATGGAATTTAAAGTGAAAAATATTTGTATAGATTAATAAGGATGGTTTCAGAAGGGCAGACGTTTGAACATTACAGAAGGTTTACAATTTCTTTATATTCTAGAAATATATTATTTGCATCATTTTCAATGCAATTAGACCAAAAAATGTATACTAATCCAGGCATCCATTTTTAGGTCACCTGAGTAACTCAGGTTACCTATTGCTATCCGTTTTCGTCCGTCGTCGTGCGTCGTGTGTCGTGTGTTAACATTTGAACATTTTCAGCTTCTCTAAAACCACTGAACCAATTTCAACCAAATTTGGTATACAGCATCCATGGGTAAAGGGGAACAAAAGTTGTGAATTTCATGGTCCCCACCCCCCTGGGGCCTGAGGGGTGGGGCCAAAACCACAAAAATTATTGCAATCTTTAAAAATCTTCTTCTTTACTCCTGGACATCAAGCAGGCAAACTGTTGGCATGAATGTAATGAGCATTGAGTCCTCTACCAAAATTGTGAAATTCATGGCCCCAGGGTCAGGGATTCTAGTGTTAGGGCGGGGCTATATAGATTATATAGTGAAAATGCATTATTTCTTTGAAAATCTTCTTCTCTGCTCCTGGGTATTAAATAAACTAACCAAGTACATAGTTATGATGAGCAAGAGTGCCTCTTCCAGATTGTGAATTTTATGGCCCCAGGGTCAGGGGTTCTGGTGTTAGGGCGGGGCTCTATTGATTATATATTGAAAATGCATTTATTCTTTGAAAATCTTCTTCTTTGCTTTTGGGTATTAAATAAACTAACTAAGCACATAGTGATGATGAGCAGGAGTGCCTCTTCCAAAATTGTGAATTTTATGGCCCCAGGGTCAGGGGTTCTGGTGTTAGGGTGGGGCTTTATTGATTATATAGTGAAAATGCATTTATTCTTTGAAAATCTTCTTCTCTGCTTCTGAGTACTAAATAAACTAACTAAGCACATAGTTATGATATTGAGTGCCTCTTCCAAAATTGTGAATTTTATGGCCCCAGGGTCAGGGGTTCTGGTGTTAGGGCGGGGCTCTATTGATTATATACTGGTGAAAATGCATTAATCCTTTGAAAATCTTCTTCTCTGCTTCTGGGTATTAAATAAACTAACTAAGCACATTGTTATGATAAGCAAGAGTGCTTCTTCTAAAATTGTGAATTTTATGGCCCCAGGGTCAGGGGTTCTGGTGTTAGGGTAGGTCAATATTTATCATATAGTGAAAATGCATTATTCTTTGAAAATCTTTTTCTCTGCTTCTGGGTATTATATAAACTAACTAAGTACATAGTTATGATGAGCAAGAGTGCCTCTTCCAAAATTGTGAATTTTATGGCCCCAGGGTTAGGGGTTCTGGTGTTAGGGCGGGGCTCTATTGATTATATAGTAAAAATACATTAATTCTTTGAAATATTTTCCTTTGCTTCTGGGTTTTATGCCAATGATCCAAGTATACATATTTATGATGAAGAAAGGTGCATCTAGCAAAGTGGTTTTTTTTTATGCCCCCCTGGGTCAGAGGGGGGGGGGTTTACACAGTCTGAAAATAAATTAATGCTTTTAAATCAGCTCTTTGGTATTAATCAATCATTTTATGATAAAATTTGCAAAATTCTGAAATATGTGGCCCCTGGGTTTGTGGTTCCTTTGGGGTGAGGTGCACAACTGGTTGCAAGTGGAAGTGCATTTTCTCTTTGTTGCTCTGATCTACCTCTGGGTATTAAGTAAATAGAGTAAGCATGCTAAGTTAATAGCTATGATAAGCAATGGTGCCTCTTTCAAAATTGTGAATTGTGAATTTCATGGCCTCCGGTTTAAAACATGAACGAAGTTAGTTGTTACACAATACTCAGGTGACCTATAAGGCCCGTGGGCCTCTTGTTTGTTTGTATCATCTGTCCTTAAGTCAAACATTTGATACCTAATGTTTTCCAACATTCTAATGGAATTCCCATGGATACAAATTGTGCCCCGTTATTGGCAGACCTTTTTTATTCATATGAAGCAGAATTTGTCCAAAATCTTATACGTGAAATGAACACTTGCTGTGGTCTTCAATTCGACATTTAGATATATCGACCACGTTTTGTCAATTAAAGCTGAAGACGACTCGTAAAGAGGCATAAACCATTTTCGATATCATTATTTCGATACATCAACACCAGGGTATACTCCTCAGATTCGTTACATCTGACTGCTTTATTGTTACGGATATCGGCGTGGAATGGTAACCCATTTTCGTGCTGGTTATCTTGCATTACCTTTGTTTACATTTTATTGCAGTTATGTGTATCTGTGTTTGTATACTTCAATGATTTATACAAGTATAATTGTAAGTTTCTTTGGTATCTAACTTTCCTGCATTAGACGAAGTATTACGTTAATATTTGTCGTTACCGAGTGCTCTATAGCATACGTCCGTCTACACCGGTGTCGACTGATTACATTGAACAATGACTAAGTCCTGCCCTTTATACAGAAGTCTGCAGATATAGCGAGAATCCAAACAAAAATGGAGGACATACTCATTTTACGAATCGTGTTCAGCTTTGACAATGGTAACTTCCATTCTTATGTGTATACGATATATCCCGGTGAGCTTGAGATAAAAGATACCAAAGAGTCTGACACATCTGTTTCATATTTCAATATTTTACATAAAAAAGACATTAATGGTAATCTAACAACCAAGCTGTATGATAAATGTGATGACTTTCAACTTTACAATCGTCAACTTCCCTTACTTATATATTTCAGTTGATTCGATACGCAAGAGCATGCCCTACAAACAAGCTGATGAAACAAGAATATCAGCAGTCTCGTTTAAAGTCATCATTTCATAAATTCTATGGTCGGTACAATGACCTTGTCAGCAAATACAGTTTATCGCTGAGTCAAATGCTGAATGACGTTTTTCATATTTATTGTTAGTCCATTATTTATACACTGAATTGACGACAGATTTTTCCGTTATATCCCGATCATGACAAGGAACACATGGCGGGTGTGTCTGGTCAGCGGGGGATGCTCACTCCTTCATGGCACCTGATCCCACCTCCGATGTTTTAAAGGTCCGTGTTTGCTCTGCTCCTGTTTTGTATTGTTTTATGGACTTTGATCTCAAATACTTTTCGTTATCTCCATATGTTTCACTATACAGAGTAATCAATAAATCTTGATTGGCTGATGATACAGCTCGACAGCAAAAAAATCTGTCCAAAAAATTGGTAAGGTCATGGAGAGAGAAAGCCACCTCATTGTTGCTAATGAAAATAGCATGTTAACAAACAAAATTATACTAACGAAACAATTTTTAGCAAAACAAATATCAATTGATAGAGAAATGTCTTTTTAAGTGGATAAAGAATCAGACTGTGTTAAATGTATAAGGAGAATATTTTTGGGAATCTCATGACGCCATGCTTTTGCCATTATTATGTTTCTCCTGGGATACCAAACATGTTGATTTTGAAAGTCAGTTGATTTCTATGAAATTAAAAGGAAAGAAAATTCACATAGCAACAAAATAAATATTTTTACATATGATAATTTGTTTTTAATTGATCGACATGGCCAGAACTTTCCGAACATTACCCCCGAATTAAATGTATACCTACATCCATTCCTGAAAAAGAATGTAGTAAAGGTTTTCAAGAACATGTTTTTTCATCATATTGATTTTGTTTTAGAATATCTTCACATTAAAATAATTATTTTCGCTGGAATTTTTGCTTAAAGTAAAACCTATCAATAACAGTGATTTTACAAAATCAAAGTCCTCACCACGGGCATAAATAGTTCTATATCAGAGCAATGGACAGAATAACATACATCATTCATTAAAGTAAAAGGGAAATTTGTTAGCTTCAAATGATAATAATCTATATGATCACTCTACTAAATTAATACTTACTAATGTGATGGAACTGAAAATCTCTGAAATTCATGTATATGTGGGTTCGTTTCATTATGTACATATGTTTAATTGAAATTTCACTCCTTTTGATTTATTGATTAGATGGTAATTGTCATCCTTCTACTCCCTTTAAACAAATTACATTGGAATATGTTTCGAGAAGAGCACAACTGGTAGTTTGCAATTGGACTTTCTTTGACGACATGAATCTAGAAATACTCATATTCATGTTGTTTTCCACGTGCGTTGTTGTGAGTACCAATATGTCTCACGTGAAAGCCATCACAAAAAGGTTGTTTGTGGATGAAAAATATGATAAGAAGATCCGACCAGTCCGCGATTATGACACAGCTGTAGAGATGGACGTCAGTCTCTTCTTGTTCAGCATCAATAAACTGGACGAGGTTCAAGAAAAACTAGTGACCACTGCATACCTGGAGCTGGTGTGGATAGACGAGTATCTCGCATGGGACCCCGATGATCACGATGACATCGAACACTTCTACATACCACAGGTATTTGATTTCTTAATCATGATAAAAACGTAAATAGTGTCCCTGCATTCATGTTTCAGCATGGCGCCTTTTTCACCATGTAGAAGAATATGATAAACTGTAATGAAGTAAGGAAATGAGTAAAAAATACAGAACAAAGGGTTAACCAGTGCTTTGAGAACCTACATTTCTACTTTCAAACCTTTGAGTGATAGGACAGCTTCTGCTTAAAACTTGTAAAAGCATACACCAGTATGGACTTGTTCTTATTTCTGCCTGACATAAGGATAATTACGCATGCCGCTCCTAAATTGCCATAATCTTCCGCACTTGTTTATATATGTATGTATATGTGTAAAAAGTCCTTCACCTCTCCTTTGTCCAAAAAAATTAAGGGATATGAAAAATTGTCAATAATTGATATTCGATAGAAGTATTCGAATATATTCTAATATTCGATAAATAAATAAGTTTTGCATTATATTATGCATCTTCATTCTCCCGTCAGCTAGTACAGGTCTACTTGTATGCCATTATCTTAATTGGCATAAAATGTCATGTTTATTTTTGTAAATTTTCCATAATTAAAGTATCTTAATAACATTTTTTTCAATATTTTTAGAATTATATATAAATTGACATTAAGTGAAAAAATCATAAACATGATTTAAAAATAAAAAGCATTTTGAAATACAAAAGATCGGTCGATCGTCTTACCGGAGACTACGTTGATAATTCTTACTAATTCATTTTACACAAAACATTAAAATATTTAAGAAAAATTATCTTCACTGAAATATTATGTTTAGAAAATAAAAACAAACAACGTTTTAAGGGTGTGCTCCTGTTTAAAAGCAATTACTACTATTTTCAGCCAATCAATTTCCTGATAATGATTTTAACGATATGTCCAAAAACTAAGAATTAATTTTTTTCAACGTATAACAGTGTCCAGTGCAACAATATAAACTGACTCTGAGTTATGGACACTGTTATGCCATTAATTCAATAATCAAATTAATAATTTATTTTAATAGATACCTCTTGACACCATTAAGAAAATCCAACAGAAATGTCCATTAATTTTGGTTTATATCATATGCTGATTCTGTCTGTCTTTTTGCAGGACTTTTTCTTCATTTTAAATGCATTTATACATGTACTTAAAAGAACGAATATTCAAATCAGTATTTCATATTCGAAAATCAATTTATACGATGAATATTCGAATATTTGTTGACATCCCTTATTAAAATTAAACCTGTATGCCCCATATTTTATCTTTTTTTCACATTTCAGAAAGAGATTTGGACGCCTGATATTGTATTGAAGGGCGGTTTTACTAGATTTCAGGAGCTAGGGGGTGATTTCTACTATCTGGATTTAGACTTTAATGGACAGATCACGTGGTTACCTTATGAAGTGTTTGAGAGCCGCTGTCCCATTGACATTACCTACTTTCCATTCGATGAGCAAATTTGTAGCATATCATTTGTTATTTGGTCGTATGCTAGGGATGAAGTTGCGATCTATGGGTCTAATCACGGAATAAAATTTTATCAATATGAAGAAAACAGCATCTGGTCAATCGTTAATACAAACTTTACAATCATCGACGATCCTCATGTAAGAGAATCTGAAATTACCTTCACCCTTCATCTACGGAGGAAACCATTTTACTTTATCAGAAACATAATTATTCCTATAGTTTTCTTATCAATGCTGAACATCCTAACATTTATCATACCAGTAGATTCAGGAGAAAAATTAACATTTGGAATGACAGTTTTTCTTTCTTTTCTTGTTTTCCTTACTATAATATCAGCACAACTTCCAGCAAACTCGGAAAGTACCCCCCTTTTGGGAGTTTACCTGGATGTACAGTTGGGGTACAGTATCACCATTCTTATTGTTACGTCATTTCAACTAAAAATTCACCACAAGGATGAAGCAGAGATACCCTCACGACCGTACCTTGCAGTCATAAGAATTAGCAATCTTATGCGATGTAAAAGTGGAAGAAAAATCAATCCTTTGACCAGAAAGATTAATCAAAACATGGAACATATCTCAAAAGAAGGAAAGGGAATAGATTTACCATGTTCGAGAGACACGAATAAGCTCACACTTTTCGATGTAGAAGAAAATGAAGAAAAAATCTCTGAGAAGAAGAATGACAAAAGTGCATATAAAGAAGTCATGGGAAAATTCTCATCATTTGATCAACCAGCGAGTTTGCATACATCACATACTTGGAAGGATGTCTCATCAGCCCTAGATTTTATCTCCTTCTGGCTCTTCCTCGTTTCAAATTTTACAGTAACAACGGTTTTCTTCGTTCAGATTTACACTGGAGGTGAAAGAAGTTTAACATAAAAATGATTTTAATTAATTGTTAAAGGCTTCATCCCATCTTCACTTTGTAATTCATAAGTACTTCACTATTGAACTCTCAAACATTTTTCTTTGATTAACAATAGTTGCAGCTGGATTTTTCTTTTTTAAAAACTTTTACGTAGCTTTTGACATTGTTTTGGTTAAAATTATGCTTAAAGAATAATAAATTTATTCATGATGTGTAGAAAAAGTGCCTGTTTAATTTATCATATACATGTAATAAAGATTAACGAAAAACCAAAAATTTATGTATTACTAAATAAAAACATTGTATCACCATATGAATTACTAGTAATTTAACCTTTCAACACTTTTTACGAATATTTCCCACGATAAATTAAAAAAAAGTAATGTTAAAATAATAAGTGCATGGAAACTCGGATTAATTGTTTGAATATATACTTGATCTTCAAAACCTATACAGATCAAGCAGAAACTCAAGCATCTTTTCAATATCAATTTTGGTGTACCTGTGTGTACAATCAAATTTTTATTTTTCAAAATAATTTTGTAAATGACTTATGACAAGTTAATTAAATTTTCGAGGTCTATCTGTTTTGAAAAAAAACAGGTGCCTTAGTGTGAAAGAGTCAAAACTTAAATTTAAAGTTTAAAAAAACTATTGAAAAAGCGTACTTTTATGCTACTGATTAAGATAAACTTTGTGATAATCTATTTTTTTTATTTTAAAATATTCACAGCTGATTTACACAACTTTTAAAATATGATGTGCAGAACTCCTGAAGTTTTTCTCACTGCTATTTTCAATGGTTCTCCTCTGCTATTAAAATTTTAGTGAGGAGTTAAGAAAAAAGCTTGGTAAACATTTACTGGGACCTGCTTTATATCTTTATTTTTATAAAGCCTAAGAATCCAGCAAAGGTATAGTATTGTTGATGCTATGCTAAACGTGATGACTTTAACTTTTCTATCGTCAACTTCCCTTACTTATGCAGCAATATACCTTCATCATGATCACCTGCATACGGAGTTTATATATCTCAGATAATTTGATACGCAAGAGCATGCTCTATGTATGAACAATTTCTAAAAGAGGTAAATTATTGAGAATATCAGCAGTCTCGTTTAAAGTCGTTTAAAGTTTAAAGTCATCATTTCATAAGTTCTATGGTCGATAAAATAACTTTGTCAGCAAATACAATTTTTCATTGAGTCAAATGCTGACTGACTTTCTCATACTAATTGTTAATCCATTATTAAAACTCTGAATTGACGACGAATTTTTCCGGATGACAAGAAGCACACGGCGGGTGTGACCGGTCGGCAAGGGATGCTCACTCCTCCATGGCACCTGGTCCCATCTCTGATGTTTTGAGGTCCGTGTTTGCTCTGCTCCTGTTTTGTATTGTTTTATGGACTTTTGATCTTGAATACTGTTCATTATCTCCATATGTTTCACTATGAAACGCAGTCAATATCATCTCTCAATTTAAAGTTAAATTGTTTTGTACATATAACCTGCATTTGTATATCAATTTTACAACTTTTACTTTAACCCATGGTGATAAAATATCTTTTATTGCAATATGAGCTTTTATCAAAATAGTTTCTTCCTAAATTTTCTAAATTTGATCCATATCCAGATATATTATGGGTTGTTGATCTTAACTGCAGGCTAATAACTCAATTTAATGATTTTTTTGGAGATTACAGCAGTTTTTTCATTGTTTACTTTACCATTTTATACAACAATATTCCATTATCACCTATATTTGATAGTTTTGTTTCCCTTCTGGTTGGGTACACGAGAACTTGTCCTGCGCACGATCTTTTCTTCATTGCTCGTAGACATATTGTCAGTTTTTATTAAAACCTCCTCCAACCGGACGTCAACTGAACAAATGAAGGTCATGTGAGGAAAAATATGCACTTGAGCTAACAAAAGAAAGTGTAATCAGTGAGGTTTCTTCTAATAATGAAAAATTAATAGCACTATATTTTGCTCTCTTTAAAGCATTGCCTGTTTACAAACTTGTCGGTATTGTAGCTTTATTCAATAATGCTTTATGGTTTCTGTTTTAATACCTAACAGCGTCAAATGTTAAGTTCGGACCATGGTCAACGTACTGAAAAATCTGTATATTTTGCATATTATATTTATTAATAAAATTTTACTTTTAGAATTGGTTCTTTTTTTTAAAACTGATGCCGTTGAAGACTTTAACCTTTATGATTTTTTTATATGTACATCTTTAAGGAGATCAACATGACGCAGTGTGAGTACTTTGTTAAATCACAGCAGGTTAATGGCAATCATGGCAACCAAGAGAAAGATCCAGATATTTCAACAATTTCAGTTGGGTTTTTACTAATTTTGTGGCCGTAATTATGACAGTACATACATCCATCTTACCATTGGTGGAGTTACTTGTATAAATAACATTAATTCATCTATCAAATATTCTTTGAAATATCTTCATCTAAGTTAGATAAGAATTTTTATGGTTAAAGAAAGATTTTGGAAAAAAAAAACAAACGTGTTATTGTTGTTCTTGGTTGTGTTTTCATATTAAAATCTTGAGAAAAACATTTATAATTGTTCTAACTCCGTCTTTTAAAACAACTGTTTACTTAATTATGACAGACTCTGGGCTCTTTTATTTCGAATTTAAATTATAAGAATGTATTGAGTGGACATATGATGTGATATGGAATTATGTTTATAACTCTTTAATTGACTTGCCCTTTGTCTTTTTGCGACACTGTACCATTAGTCGTGACGGGATAGTTGAACGGTTAATACGTCACACCTCAGCGATTGGTAGATTGAAAACATTTGTTTTAACAACATATTTAAAGGACGTAAAGGTTTAAAATGTCTATGAGGATAGTTTATCTATCTAAAGGCAGACCAGGGAATAAATTTTACAACATTCATCATGAAAAAAAGGAAAATCGAGCTCTCCCGATATTCTGTCATAATGAGACATCTTGTTATTCTTTCATAAATCGACAGCATCTCTCTTTGATATTTTCTTTGAGACAACGACACATTGTTTTCTAAAATTCAGTTTTTCATTGTAAAAAATGTAATTAAAAAATACATAGAAAAAAGAATATTAAAGGTTTCTTTATTTTAATGAGTAATCATGGTAATATTACACACCCACTCTCTCCAACCAAAAATCTTTAAGTCTTAGATCTTCATCGACTCACCGATTATCCGACTAAATCGATGCATTCACTATACAGTGTTAGTGTTAGTAAATAACAAATTCGTTATCTTGATCTAAAATTACGAAGATCTACTTGTGTTTCGAAACGGCGCTTAAATGGTCGGCGAACCACGCTGTTTTGCTTTAAAATGACAATTTTTAATGCTTTTAATGCTTCGTATATAACAATACCTTTTGTGTATTTGTACAAAAAGATAAATTGTAAAATTTTTATCGATAAAAATTCCATGATCTTGGGCATCAATTTGTGAAAATGTATTGATATTTCATCATAAATGGAAAATATTTACATTTGCAAATGTTTTCCTTTATATAACACTACTGAAAGCAAGCGTATTTATAACTGTATAATTCCAATCTTCATTTTATCTATTGATTTCCTGTGTTTTGATTGGACGAGAACACGTTCCAGAAAATTTTTACACATCGATAAATTCTTTCAATCAGAACTACTTTCTTGATGACACTACTAGGTTATCGTATAAACAATGAAAGCAGTTATTTAGGGCAAACTGACCATGGTTCAGACGGACAAAACACTTCCCAGTTGATAGTAAGAGTCTAGACCAACAGCTTATTGCTTGTAAGCAAAACAAGAACCGTCCGAACCATGGTCAGTTTGCCCTATGGGTCTGTTCTGGCTAAATAATGAATACAAGAAACTTTAAATTTAATTGGGGCTTAAACAAAACTGGCAACATACTAGACTGCCTAACTGATGGACGCCGTGAAAATGTTTATGTCACTGTCCGATCACGAGTGTGAATTTTAAAAATCGCTGTCTCAACGTTCATACGTAGAAAATAAGCTCAGTCTGTATCGTTTTGACAGGGAAAAGAAACGTACCTCAAACTCTTGCCCTATTAACATCAAATTCATATTTACTTTCTATATTGTTCCACAATATTTGAATAAACAAGTGCAAATTGAAGGCGTCGTCGGTCTGCAACTTTCGTTATGAGAGTTGTTGTTTATGTCAACATGGCCATGGTCAAAGACGAACTAGGGTGCCTATTCTGAAGTAAACTCGTAATTACGATATTTGTTGACTTAAACAACATTCGATTAGTTGTTAGAAGTTTATTTATCGATTGTTTTGACAATTTAAGTTGAACTCTATCGAAATTCATCTCGATACGTTCCTTTACGGTAAAATGTATTCCTACTCCGTCCAGAAAAAACGGATTGTATGGAGGCCTCAAAGAGAAATAATTTAAATATTTTTAAAAATTCGATATTGGAATTATAAGAATTAAACGTTCTTTTTGAAAAATTTATCGATGTGTAAACTCTTGACATTTTACTCACAAACTTAACATAAAAGTGCTTCGCACTTTTATTTAGTTTGTGAGTAAAATGTCCAGAGTTTACACATCGATAAATTTTTCAAAAAGAACGTTTAATCCTATAATAAATACAGGTACGGGGTCAAGAGGTCATAGATGTGCGTATGGATAAACGTTCGACATAATTTCTCAGTGACGTCATAAAGGGTCGACGCGCGTTCAGTGGATTACATACATGCCGTTGGGTTTGAAAAAATAATGCATTTCACACGTTAAAAGTCACAATCAGGCAAATTTTAAGTATGAATAAGTCACAAATGTAAATATAAGTAATAAGGTATCATTTTTTGAGTTTTATTGGGATGTAAAACGGGTTGGCACATGATCAAATCTTCCATAAAGCCCTTCGGCCTTCGGACCAACCCGTTTTACATCCCAATAAAACTCAAAAAATGATACCTTATTTCTTGATTAAAAGACTTAACTTTCTTATTTA